GATTGATGCAGGTCAAAAGTGATCAGTTCAATACAAGGTACAACTTCTCCATTATGTAAATCAATCAATAAATCAATCGTCAATCCATCCATTTTCTTCTCCTTTATCCATTTCAAGATTGTGGAGTTCGCTAAGCAGTGATATCCCCAATCCACCCACACTTCTTCCAGCTCCTCTTGGAAAATGCTGAGGTATTCCCAATCCAACATGTCCTGGGTCTTCTCCTGGGCCTTCTACAGGTGGGACATGCCTGGAACCCCTCCCCATGGACATGTCCCGGAGGCATCCAAAACACATGCTCGAGCCACCCCAACCGGTTTCTCTCGACGTGGAGAAGAACCAGCTCTACTTCAAGCACCCAACACTATCTAAAAGGGAGCCCCAGAGACTCTGCACAGGAAACTAACTTTGACCACTTATATCCATGGTCCTATCCTATGGTCCAACTTAGATTGGCCGTAAATCAAGCGCTTTGTCTTTCGACTCTGCTCCCTCTTTAGCTATTATTGATATGAGAAATCGGTAATCCTTCTGAAAAGTAGAGTCCAGTAAACATACTTTGAGGGGTTGTCCTTTTTCTGGGATCTGGGATGAACTTGGTAAATGAAACAGTGGCTTGTACAACAGATTTTATCTGGGGCACCACAAAATTGCTCAAAAGGGATCAAAAGAGACTGTAAATCTACTTTGGATGAAGGTGTTTCATTATTTCATGATAGAAAGTTAATTCAATAGTTCTTCTGCACAATCAGGCTTGACATGTTAATGAAGGATGTTGAAAGACCTTACATTGGAGTGTGTGTGTGTGTGTGCTTGAGACTGTCTGTGTGCAGGATTTTCCAAAAACTGCTGGACTTACTAAGCAGTAATATTGTGTAGATGGGATGTGACGGTAAGAACACTGCCCTCAAAATGTCTAGTCACCAATGTGATGAATGAATCTATAATACATTTGAGACAATCAAGTAAACTTTTAACCCGTTAATGGTTTCCTCAACCATTTGGTGGATCACTTTTTGAGTCACTCCATCTACTTAACTGATCTCTCTTAGTGGCCACAGTCAAAGCTATTCCTCAGAGAGAAAGCAGGTTGACAGATTTGGGTCAGTCTCACAGCTGAATGTATCAATCTAATTACTAAAAAAAGTCACTACAACTCACCACAATGCAATAGGGCTAGCCCAGACAGGAAGTAAAAGGGCCATTCTTTCCACCCATCCATCTTCCCCTTAATTCATTTCTGGGTCGGGGGGTGGCAGTCAGAGATGCACCCAGTACACAGAGCACCAGCCCCTCACTGATCCTCTTGCAGGTGGTGAGTCCACAGGAGCCTTGATCTTCCAGCGGGGGCTTCAGGAAAAGTGGGTTTAAGTGTCTTGCCCAAGGACACAAAGATAGCAGACATCAGTGGGAGTCGAGGAACAGGTCTCGTGGTGGGCTCAAACCCACAACCTTCAGGTATAAAGGACAATGCTCTACCAACTGAGCCACTGTTGTCCCAAAGAGCTGGTCTTTGTTTAAACAAAATGACGTCATGCCTCCCCGTGCATAAAGCTCATTGCACTTATACTGTATATAGTAGTAATTTTAAGACATGTTATGCAGATTTTTTATGCATGCCTTATTCTATTTTACTTTTATAACTGGTTTGCACTGAGATCAAAAGCAAATTCCTAGTTTGTGACTTCCTGCTACTTACAATGTAAATAAAAATGAGTCTGATTCTGATCACTTCTTTATCAAACTACATCTCAACCATTTGGTAAAGGCCCATTATTTAAAAAAAAAAAAACTTCTGCAACAATCCTAAAACAAATATGAATTGCTTTCTTCAAGGAGTGAACATCCAAGGGTTAACCTGGACTAGATTCTTGAGGAGCAGATGCACAGCAAGTTAAAACAATCCCTGAATCCCTGTATCTGGAAACACTGCCTGTTAATGTAAGTGGGTTGTAAAATGTGTATACAGACAGATTGGGATGAGGAAATGGGAATAAAATGCGGAGGTCCTCAGTTTAGATGTAGCAGACGACAGATGGGGCGTCCCAAGCCAAACTCTGCACGGTCTTGTCCAAACAGTTTACTCTGTCATCCCCTGCACGCACACACACACACACACACACACACACACACACACACACACACACACACACACACACACATACACACACACACACACACACACATACACAGAGACAGACATACACACAGACACACACTGACATAAGCACTTTCAACATCCTCCACCAACATGTTCGCCCTGTTTGTGCAGTACAATTATTGAATTAAGGGAGAGTCAGGACAATAACAATGATATGAAAGTGCCCCCTAGAGGAGAGTCGAGGAACAGTAGCATCAGAGAGTGGGAATAAAGTTGGGGCATTTCATTTTCAAACCACAACATAACTACTTTTTATGCATGCATATATCTGTCACCATCCATCCATCCATTTTCTTCCCCTTAATCCATTTCTGGGTCAGGGGGGTGGCAGTCAGAGCTGCACCCAGTACACAGAGCACTCACTCACTCACTGATCCTCCTGCAGATGGTGAGTCCACAGGAGCTGAGATCTTTTAGCAGGGGCTTCAGGCAAAGTGGGTTTAAGTGTCTTGCCCAAGGACGCAACAACAGCAGACATCAGTTGGACTCATGAAGTAGGTCTTATGGTGGGCTCGAACCCACGACCTTCAGGCTCAAAGGCCAAAGCTCTACCAACTGAGGCACTGTCAGCGCTTTAGATAAACTTTTTTAGAAGAAGAGAGGACAACCCTTACCCAGCCAATCAGCTCTCAGCGCAAAGTGAAACAGTGACTCACATTCTTTGAGTCTGTAAAACATATTTTCCGACCTAATGGAGTAAGCATGTTGTGGTCTAATTTGCTTGTAAATAAATTTACATTTACAAAAAACATTAAATCAAAAACAGGTTTTGTGCCCCAGCTTTAATTAATAATACATTTATCCATATACATTTGAAATACAATTGAATTCGATGTCATAACATAATTTATTTGCATCAGAAATGTCTATTTCCACCAAAATGTGATTTGAGAAAAGGCATTTAATGTGAATATAGGCAAAACACTATTTTTATTCAAGACAAAATACAAGACAGTGTTCAGATGAATTACAGTATTTCATCAACTATAAAAGGGTAAGTATAAACTCATAGATACAGATTAATGGCACAAAATCATGTTTTTTTCAGAATAAAGAACATTCATGAGAATTCATATTATTTTCATAAAACAATGCCCAACAATGGAATCCTCAGCAATAACCCTAAAGGGATTGTGTGCCACTTTGGAATTTCTAAATGAAAAATACAATGCTGTCATCTAATTAAAAAAACAACATTTTCTATAAATGCATTTGAACGTAAAATGGTTAGCGTTCAACATCAGTGCAGAGTTTGCATTTTCTCCCAGTGTCAGCAGAGGTTTCCTCTGGGTGCTGTTGTTTCCCCGACACTAAAAACAGGTCACAGCAGCTCAAAACTAACAATACATCTGATCTTTGTCATTTTGTTTCAAAATATTTAAATATAATAATAATTGTATAACATACATAGGCAAAAATTATAATCATAACATAATTGAAAAACAGAATGTGTGCATACATTACGAAATGTTATGATGTTGTAAAACTTCCTGCTTTGAAGAGAGTATTAAACAACATTTTGGTAAATACTTTAAACACACCACATACTACACCATCATTTTTTTATATATACCATAGATTCCAGACTAGAAGCCGCTGCTTTTTTCCTGCATTTTAAAGGGCTGCTTCTTGGCAATAGACCAAAAGAAATCATAAGTAGTACACAGAGATGCAATTAAATTGTACATTTATCAATAAATCAGATTAAATAAAGTTTCCTCATAGTCCTCATAATATCTAAGGCTTATAATAAATCGTTTTTTTGTTCTTTGTACGGACATGAAAGTGAAAAGAGACCAGTAGATGTTGCTCCTTAACTTTCTGCTTCTTACACTTATTATTTACTTATTAAAAAGAAGATATGATAAACGTTTTTGAGCAATATTTTTAAATATAGTCCAGAAACGTATACCATACGGTATTTTACATATAACATGACATACATGTTGTAAATATACAAGTTTTCCTGTTGCCACATTTGATATTTACACATAAAAATAGTACATACAGGTTCAAATAAAGTATCAAAACATGTTATCACCATCCAGCAAATGTCAAGGGCCGGTAACAAATTATAGAAAAGCTAAAATACTTAGGAATGAATACTTGTTTATAAAGCCATGCACATCATAACGTCCACACAGCACTATACATGCACATGAATGCAGATCACTGACAACCTTTAATCTCGTAAAAAATTCTCTTTTCCAAACAACTAATACATCTTACAGTAATATTGAGAAAATGAGACCAAGAAGCAGGAATACACTTATTTGACCATTATTTCTGTGTCATGAAAGAAAAAACATTTAGCCCCAGTGTATACGGTCATCTTGAGATCGTTACCAGGCCACATTAATCCATCTCTAAGGACGCTCTAAGTGTCGGCCTACATCAGATCTCACTGGAACTCAAGTTCAACTCAAGCCTGATGGACAGAGTGGCAAAGGAGAATATTCGTTAATCTCACTCAAAACTCACTGAAATAGTTTCTCAATAGAATATTCTGGCAGTACTCTTTCGTTGGAACATCGCTTCTACATCTGTCTTGGACACACTTTTTGTGGCAGTATTTTTTGCACTTAAAAAAAGTTGTTCGTCCAAATGAATGGTCTTTTCCTTTACCGTTCTTTTCTGCCCGGGATGAAACCCATGACCAATCAGCTTGGGTCACATGTCGAAATCCTCTTACTCCAAGATATGACTGTGTCCTTCTTGGGCCGATGACACGCTCAAATCTAAAAAGACACATTCAGCCTATAGCCCCATACTTCCACAGGTAACATACATTCCACTGGCTTCATTTGAACCTTGGATATGTGTTCCCTGGCCTTTTTTTTCAGCAGTCTGCCTCCTTGTCGGGGTTTGGCACCTCAGCTCCGTTCATGTCAGTGTTCGTATTGACCGTGGTCTGGTGCATGCGTTCCAGTATTCGATGGATACTGCTGAAGCTCGGTCTGTCTGCGGGATGGGTGCTCCAGCAAAGCCTCATCAGACTGTACAGCTCCACGGGACAGTTATCCGGACTCGATAAAATGTGCCCGTCCCTCACATAGTAAATAACTTCCTCGTGACCCATCCCATAATACGGCTGCATCCCATGTGAGAAGATCTCCCATAGCACCACTCCATACGCCCACACGTCTGACTCTGTGGTGTAGCGGTTGTAGAAAATAGATTCGGGGGGCATCCAGCGAATCGGTATCGCGTCATTCTCATTGGCTTTGTAATAATCGGCTGAGTAGATGTTTCGTGACAGTCCGAAGTCTGCGATCTTCACCACCATGTCTTCCCCGACTAAGCAGTTCCGCGTGGCCAGGTCGCGGTGCACAAACTTGCGTTCTGAGAGGTAGGCCATCCCCGCGGCGATCTGTTTGGAGATGAAGAACTGTTCTGTAGAGCTGAGGCCCGGACAGTCGGACTCCGAGGCGAAGCTGCGGAGGGACATGCTGGCGCGGCTGACGGCACGGCTGGACTGGGTGGGTGCGCGGCGCCGGAGAAACTCGTTCAGGTCTCCGTGGGCCATGTACTCGAACATGAGACACATGGGTTTGCCCACTGCACACACACCTACAAAGAAGAAAGACAAACGTTTAGCAAGTCATTGTGTGGACTTTTGTTATCTGATTTATTTTGTTAACTCATTTGCCGTGTTGCCTTTTTGAGTTTGAGATTGTTGGCCCCGCCTTAATGGGATTCACCCGTGTCTCCCGTTGTATTCATAAACTGTGCCTTTCCTCACTTGTTGTCCATCCATTCTATTTGTCAATTCTATGTTTGGTCCTGGCTTGTTTTTAGTTCTCAATTGTTGTGTTTTTTTGTTATCCTGGATTTCACTTTATGACAGGACTGAATCACCAAAGTATCAAAAGGACTTTATAACCAATCTGAATAATGAATCAGCAATAAGCAGAATTATATTGTAAAACATTGACAACTTTAGACTTTGGAGTCAACACATTGCATTAAAAACCTTTTGCAGACTGGGTGTTTTGCACTCTGATCTCACACCGGTCAAGCGTTTTTATGCAAGGTAGGTTTTTATGAAAATTACAGTTCCAGAATCCCACTAATTCCGTTCCAGGATCCCACTAATTCCTCTCTGCCTATACAATTTGAATCACTAGTGCACATTATTGCCACTTTTTGGACAGAAGAGACCACTTTTACTTAGCCAGACCATTCTCAGACAAAGCGTTAAATACTGACTGCTAGGGCTCTTTTTAAGTATTAAAAAGATCATTTCTAATATGATAAGAAAAAGACTGCATTTTGTGGTCTGATATGTTCACAACAATTTACTTTTTACAAGACTCTTTCTGTTGGCTGTGAACAGACGTACATTATACTATCTTTTACAAATGTAATCTAATTGTCTTCAACATACTACATAGCACCTACAGGCAGTGGTCAGTGCTTTCTCTCGCTATGAGATTGAGATTGTGAACACATGGGGGAAAATGTCACGTGATTTGCTCTAAATACATTAGGATTTGTGAATGTAAAATCTGTATTTCCAGGAAAGAATCTTCCCAACACCAGCCAAGATGGAGCAAAACAGATATGTTTACACAGCTGTGCTTCTTTTTGCACGGTTCAAAACTTTTAAATACAACCTATTGGCACAAATAGGAAGCTTGTAGGTCATCAGTGTTGTTCAGCGTCCTTGGGGGGATTGAAACAGTCTAATTATGGTTCCTCTGAGACTCAAGCCCAAGCAAGAGAAACAGGAGCACACGTCACAGTAGCTGCTTTCACAAAAGGTCAGCGGTGGGATGAAGAGTTTTGACCCATCACTAAAAATACGGATCACGATGGCTCCATCATAAGATCTCCTAAACATATGGCCTCATGGAGATATTTTTGTGCTGTAATTGAGGCGGATTATGCGAGCTATTATAATTGAATGAACTTGTGTGTCACTTAACAGTTCTAAATGTGCAAACATGATCAAAATGCCGGCAATAAAAATAATCAAATGGGCGTGTGGCTGCGTTTTTCCTGCGCAAAATCTGGTTGAAATTGAGTAGAGATGGTCACGAAAAGATATAAACTCATTTTTGATGACCTGTTTTCGATCAAGCCGGGCCTTTTCTTTGCCTACATCTGTTTTTTGCACTTGCCAATGCGCTGATCCAAGGATTCAAAGATGCTATATATGTCAAAAGCAGCTGTGTGTGCTAAAGTTTGGAAATATCCCGTAGATTAAACTAGTTCTCAGCAGACTTATTGTTACTCAGAGGGTGAATTCAAGGCAGTGTGGACCTTTTCTGCAACCATGCTCGTCAACATAAAAAAGGTTATTGTGTAGCTACGTCTGCATGGTATTTGTCAGAGTTTTAGCTAGAACAGTTACATAGTTCCCTATTAAAGTGAAGGTCAGTTATTTTTCCAATTGTGACACTTTTTTAATGTAAACACCAGTTAGACCTGCCCCCATTGGTTCCTGATGGGACACGTTAAATTAAAATCATGGTAGACAGCAGAAGTCCCTTACCATTGGTCTAAATATTCTCCTTCAGAAATGAAGAATCTATCCATCCATCCATCCATTTTCTACCCTTTAATCCATTTCTGGGTCAGGGGGGTGGCAATCAGAGATGCCACCCAAGTCTCATAGCACCAGCCCCTCACTGACCCTCTGCAGGTGGTGAGTCCACAGGAGGACGGCTGCTCTCTGAGTGTGAGCAGAGCCTTGATCTTTCAGCGGGGGCTAAAAATTAAGAATCTGTTAGTTATTATTTATAAAAAAAATATTTAGTGTAGATAATCCTACAAGGTACTTTTCAAAATGAGACAAAATTGAATAGGAAGAATCAGCTTTTACCACCCATGCACTAAATATCCAATAGAAAACAGAGAACGACAGCAACATTTGAATTTTGCTGAAAAGTAAAAAGTAATGCATCTTTATATAATATAAATGAATATAGAAAATGTATCTCCTTGGTGTTGAAGTCTCAATATGCTACGAGATAGCAATCTACAACCAGCTGTATATTTTTCTGATGTATACATACAAGTTGGTTAAAGATGAATGTATACTTTAATATCCCACTAGAAAATAATTCCTCCGTGTTTGACCAATCCTGTCACTGGGAACTCTGTCAGCAGCAGTGGTTGCCAAAGTACAGCAGAGCACCTGGGAACCCATCTCCAGCTGTGGATTCTTCGGCTTGGTCAAGACCGGAACTGGAGAATTTTACCAGTTGTATATGTTTTTACTGGGGACCCTCCTGCTGAGAAGCGAGAGTTCTAACCACTCTGCCACCAGTTGTGCCAGATCATGTTCTCCACTCGACAGATCCATCACTGTATTGGGCCATTATTTGACCCATTCTGACTTAAGATCAACTGTGCAATATCCATTCTGTTTTTGTTCTCCATCTGCTTTTGCACTTAGAACGCACCAGCCAAAACACTGATCCAGGGATTCAGTGGTGCTATATAAAGCATGTCAAATACAGATGTGAGAGCTTGATTTTTGGAAAGGTTTAGGATTTTTAAAAAGGCATGGAAAAACAAAACAAAAAAAATCGATCTATTTACACCCATTTCTTACGACATTTGAAATAGAAAGTGATTGGTTTGACTGTATTACGAGAGAAAAAGAATGCTTGGCCATGTCATTACCTGGGTTGGGATTAGCCGAAATATTATTGGTGTAAAAATTGTGTGTAAAAATCGTCAAATAGATTTCTAGTCTTAGTTTAAAGAAAATGTATCTGCAATCCTTGTGTAAATCCACATGAAACAAAGTAATTCAGTAAATATCTGAATATCTAAAAGTTGAATTTCAGAAAGGAATTATATTATGAAACATTTTCTAATAATCCGAATGCACCTGTATGCAAACAGAAGCTTATCATGAATGTTTTTTTTGTTTTGTTTTTTTATGTTGCTTAGCTCCCACTGAAATACAATAATAGAATATGAACACAACTTATTTGGGCAAAACAATCCATAGTTAGATATAGTTTTATGTGAGTTCAATGTTCAAAACAGCAACAGGAAGTGTGCAGCTTGCTAACATCTCTCTTGAGCTTGTCGTGGCAATATTTATGTCGTATAAATCTTTAAATTCAGTTTCCTCACATCTGTTTTAGTACTGAGCACAATACTCAGAGGTAATGACACTGTAGGAGGAAATCTCAAGCAAAACACAGATGTGGGATCAGTGCAAATATTCCTTTCCCTGTAATATCTCCATAAATATATAAAGCATTAATATGGTAAAAAAGGAGGAAATCATCCAGGACTGCATATTTTTTTGTTTTCGATTTCTATATCTATTTTACTGTATTTTAGTTCAATTTTGATACTTAGATTTCATGTATAAGGCTTGTATGTTTAAATTGTGTTACTTTTGTCAGTTGAAACATGTTGTATAAACGTTGCTATATAAATAGAGTGAATCGGAGGACATTTTTATTATAATCATTGTTTGATCAATTGAATGAATAATACAGCTGAGATTTTTTAGATACATTCGACCAAAAACAAAACAAAAGCTATTCCCTTTGAGATCACTTTCAGCACATACTGTATGTAACGAATCTAAGATTGATTAAACATACGCTCTTTTCATTCTACGGCCAATATAGAAGTTATTATTTGAGTCATAAAACCTCTTTTTAGCATCTTTAAGTTCATGAAACCCCAACCCCAATCAATGACAAGTTATTGACTGTTTTAATTTGTTCCAGCCCTACACCCACTAGGGGTTTTCTAATATTAACTGGTGTCATTAGAACATTCTTCAGAAGTCCAGCCCTATTCCCCGACAATCTGGCTCTTCATCTGTCGTTGTTAAATTGCCTTTTGTGTGTTTTACGATGTTGGATGGTGAGTGTTGGTATTAAAAGTTGTCTACGTGAAGTTGCACTTTGTACGAACTATATGCAATAGGAATACAGTATGATTGATTGATGAATTGATTTCTGTAATTCAAGTTAAATGTATACATAAGAGGACTTTCTTCTACCGGGTGGATCATTCTTGTGATACGTGCTCGTCAAAAAAGACCAGAGAGTTTTGTTCAAAAAGTGGAGGGAGCAGTTCTTTCCTAAACATTTGGGAAAATCCTTCCACATACGTTTACATTGTGAAACCAATACATGCAACGTGACGTCAAGTCTGTGTTTGATATAATTCTGATGATTATGGCTTAAAATATTTTGTATGTTTTATTTGGAGATTATCCAAGATGTGAGCCAATTATCTCACAGCAACATCATAAAAAGTAAAAGATCGCTTGTAGTGAGTGTCATGTATTAGTTTTACATTGTAAGTTGAAGTACAAAAGTAAATGGACTGTTGAAATTTTCTATTGTAATTTTCTGAGTTTCACCTGTACTGAAAATATTTTGGTAAGATAAAATAAGATATACTCTCTCTTTATTCAAGGCTAGGTTTAAAACAGTCCTCTTTAGTTTAGCATATGGCTACTATATAAACACCTCAGACTGTCAAGCTGCACAGGGAGTCAGTTTGCTGGGAGAAGTATGGGAACTTGAGCACTATCCTCTCCTCCTTCCTACTTTATCTGTTTAGCATTATTAGGATTTTGACTGTAGTTTGTTCATTGCTATTCACCCGTTGTCCCATTGTCTGTTTCATGGTACGATGACGGGATCTCTGAGCCTGGCCTCCTCCATCTACACCTGTGGACTTCCCCGCCCGACCCGCCTGGGAGTGCTTCAGTCCTGCACCGGACCTGTCCACGTTCAGCGGCCACTGGTCCACGTCCTGTAGCTAGCTTAGGTCCTAGATCATTAGCCTGTCCGTCCGGAGGAGCGGATCCCTTTCTCAAATGGGTCTCCCTCCCTGTGGGTTTCCCTAGTTCTCCCCAAGGTTTCTCACTTTTTCCCACTGGGTTTTTTAAGAGTTTTTCCTTGTCGATGCAGGAGGGTCTTGTTGGACAGTTAGTGTCCAACAGAAAGGATTGGTGATGATCAGGACACTTTAGCATTCTACAACATGTATGGACATTTTCTTCTGTGTGTGCTTTATATTCTTCATGTGTTTTAACTGTTGATTCTCTGATCTGTGTTGGTGATTTCAATGGTTTTGTTAAGTCCTCTGAGATGACTTCTGTTGTGACCTAGGGCTACACAAGAATAAACTGTATTGTATTGTACCAACACACCTAAAAGCTTGACAATATTTGGATGGTCAAACTCTGACATCAGCGCCGCCTCTCGCTGGAAGTCGTTTTGCATGTCAGTCGAAGCCTCCTCCTTCAACATCTTCACTGCCACCATCGTGAACGACTCCATTGGCAGCAAGCCCGGGGCCCTGGAAGAAAAGCAGGCAACATTTGAAGCAATAAAGTGCTAGAATAGAACTGAGTGTTTTCTTTAATAACATTCCCAAATCTATGAAGCCGATAGTACACATCACGCAGGATCGTTGCTTCCTGCAGAGTCTCAAGAGAGGAACAAATTTGCATCCAGCGTTGGTGTATATTTAGTTTAGACAGGACTGCGTGTGTGCTGATAACTCATTCATAAGGAGGAACAGTGTGTGTTGAGAAACAGGAGGAAAAAGGAGAAACAGTGTGTGTTGTGAATTATTGTCTTTATTAACTGGGAACATAAAGTAATAATAAGTAATAATGTGATAATATTGATTTCATGTCCTCCAATTTCACCTTGGCAAAACGGCAGAAACCAGAGAAGACATGGTGGTTCAGCGAATCGGCAATGCATGAAGCCTTTTTTGTTCATGATTTAAAAATGAAAATGTCAATTAAAGTAGCAATATATAAGATTTTCATGTCATGTCATCATTAAATGTCCCTAATCTGTCAAAAGGCATTAATATACCATGCTATTTTCGAATACTTCTTTAACTGATAAAAGTAGTTAAGCCAAGTTTTCAACCATTGTTGACTAACCCTCTTGGATGTTCAGAAAATTACAGTCCCAGATTTGTCTGCTTATCTGGCAATCTTAGTGGGAGAGATTGCAGTACCACTTTTGGCCAGATTTTTTACATATTGCTCCGTTATTGTTTGATTTTTTTTTATACAAGGTACAAAAAATATACACGTTTCATTTCCATTATAGAAAAAATGCATTGTCATGATCACATTGCAATTGTACACATGCAAAGATAGATAGCTAGTACTTTATTAATCTCAAAGGAAACTGAAATGTGTCTGCCTGCTCAACATACAGTCTCATCCAATCAATAAAGAGCAATTACAAGATTATGAAATGGAAAAAAAAAACTGTGCAAAAACTGTTCCCATGTCTTCTTTCTTCTACAACTTATGTATTCTAAATGACAATCTCAAGCACAGGATACACATAACTATTTATTCTCCGCAGAACTAGATACCAGGACAGGGCCTTGAAGATGTGGGGCCCATTCTAAAATGGCACATCATCAAAGTCTAAAAGTACTGTTCCCAGAGGGGTTCATATGCGGCACCATTCTACCTTTCACTTCTGAAGGATTAGCAGGAGGACAGTCGTCAGATCTGAATACAAGACACATGCTAGACTCAAGTCCCTCCCACTCAGACAGTTTGTAGAGGCTCACTACTTTCATAAGAAAAAAACAAAGTGCCTGCCACGTCTCTCCTTGACACAATATTGAACAGACCAATACAAAGCTAAAAAATAAGAAAATTAAAAAATGGATGAGACTATGTTGAGCAGGCAGACACATTTCAGTTTCCTTTGAGATTAATAAAGTACTAGCTATCTATCTTTGCATGTGTACAATTGCAATGTGATCATGACAATGCATTTTTTCTATAATGGAAATGAAACGTGTATATTTTTAGTTCCTTGTATAAAAAAAATCAAACAATAACGGAGCAATATGTAAAAAATCTGGCCAAAAGTGGTACAGCAATCTCTCCCACTAAGGTTGCCAGATAAGCAGACGAATCTGGGACTATAATTTTCTGAACATTCAAGAGTTTAGTCAACAACAAAACTGTTGATGGCTGAAAACTGGACAATTTGGGTTTGTTGGCTCAGCAAAAATGCAGCCGCGATATATCTGTTGCATCGGATCCAAGGGATTTTTGTGATTTTTTGTGTAAGCGTTGTGGGATAATTTGATAAATTCTTTTCCATTTTCATCTTGCTTGAATATAAACGACTCTGGTGTTAGGTCCCGGTTACCTTCTCTTCCCCTACGTGCAAGGTGTAACTGAACATCAAACCATACTTTTCTCACAAGGCCAATCGCTGTGCTTGAATTGAGGACACCAGAATCTTTTATCTTCTTCAAATCAGTGCTGGAGATTGGCGGATGATGCTGGCTGGTATCTTTGCCACTCTTGCGATTTGCCTTTATGACCCATTTATAAATATTGTTGCTGGAATTGAATAGTTGATTCTTTAGGATGTTATACTGGCTGTAATAACGGTTTATTCCGCTACGCAGTGCAGTGTAACTTGCCACAGAGTAGACATCTCCAGCGCTGGAACGCACGGATGGATAAAACATTCTCAAAAGTGTGTTCAACCCATCTGCATTATCCGCAACAGACGTATTGTTGGTCTCTTTTATCCAATCTTTGAATACTTTCATTGCCCAAATTGTGCTCTTCTTTGTGTTTGTCTCAGGACGGTTTTCCTCTATTTCATTAATCTCGTCAGCCGTTAGGTGTTAATGCCTCTTGTTGGTCTTCTCTACCTCCTGTTGTTCTTGGTTGCTCTCCTCCTGTTCTTCTTGAGGTTTTCGTTTACGTTTGGGGGACGGCAAATTAGATTGTGCGTCCCACCAGTGATCAAAATCTCCATACTCCCCGTAAATATTAAAATCCACTTTAAACTCGCTCATGTTTTCGGCCAGACGGTGTGTCGCTCAAAGCTCATTGACGAAGTGCCCGGACTACTTGCGGAGTGATCTGATCAGGATCTTGCGTTGCCATGGGCAACGGTCATTATTGTTTTGAGAGGTCCGTTATAAAATATAATGACCGGTAGAACGTTTTGAAATTACATTCAAATCAATGGAGCATTCTACTGCTGCTCTGAGGAGCTGTGTAATAAACAGTATTAATTCACAGTAGTTTGAAGTGTAATCTTCACTACAGCTGCAACATTCTGGGAATTTGCAAAGATGATTTCAATAGGAAAAAATGTGAATCTACGGGAATATATGGAAATAACAATTTGCGGTAAATAATAACGAGCATGCGTGTGTGGGTCTCATGCACATGCACAGGGGACATGGCAGCGTTCTGACCAATTAGGCGCTGATTAAACAAAAAAAAGGCTTGGACATGGGATACTATAATCCCCACAAAATCTGACCTTTATGAAAGCTGTAGGTTCCCTGTTCAGCTGGGATAGACCTGTTTTAGATTACATTCTATGAGTAAAATTTCTGGGTAGCCCACGAGAATTGTGTCTTATTTAGTGTGCAGTACCGTGGGAAGCCCCAAAGCCCGTGGGTGTTTCAGCTGTAAGCTAGTAATACCCTATCCAGTTATTATTTCAGTTCCATGCATAGTAAATCAGAGAATCAAACCATTCAAACACAAGAAATGCAATGATAAAAAAAAACATAGAGCCATTGGTCCATAAGGGGCAGATGCCTAATGTCCTTAATTATTGATAAATGTCCATAAAGGTGGTTGAATGTCGAGTGTCCTGGTTCATCTCCACTGTCCTTTGACCCTCCTGTATCTGCAAGGAAAAACTCTTAAAATCTCTCTTGAAAATGTACCAGATACTTTCTGGAAATTTACCAGAAAAGTTCCCTCCCTTTGCAACCCTAATCCTCACTGACCGTGGTATAAATCATTGTTATTCCATTGGCCGCGCTGACATTTGAAAGCAACACCTGCCTGCACCACGACATGCCACCTTGTAAATGACGCACTAGCTCTCAGTGTACGAGGAGCCTGGCCTTGTCTAAGTCCACTGGGTCAAAGCATTCTCAGCATTACACCGTGCACTCGTGTTCCTTTGTGTGCTCCACTCACCGAGCCTGGAAAACTCTCCCGAAGGCCCCCTCTCCGATGTCCCGGACGTACTGGATGTTATTGCGAGGATATTCCAGAGCCAGGAGTTTGGAGTTGAGCAGGAGAGGCACCCGCTGGTACATGGGGTTAGGGTGAAGGCGATCCAGCAGCAGCTCAGAAGGGAGAGTGGTCATGGTCGGTGTCTCCATTACTCTGAAATAAATGTAAAAAAGATAATATACATCTAATATTAAAACCACAAAAAATATAATGGTGTAATAAATCAGTGGGAGTTCATGACTATTAGCAGGTGGGCAGCCATTTTTGCAATCGAACCTGATTCTGTTAGTTCTGACTGTGAAAGTGGAAATATTCAAATGTCTTGTAATTTGAATATTACGGGGCTCTCTATCAAACGGAGAGCCCCGTGTGAGCTCTCCGTTTAGTTCATATTTTAAACGTTTTTAGTATACATGTTGCTGATATTTTAATACATTTTGGGGATACTCTTAGTTGACTTCTTAATATTGATTCAGTGTTCTTATTCATCACAATCTTACATACAAACAAGCGACGATTAAATTGAAAGTCGTTAGCACTGAGGCTACCACGAGTCCACAACGAAACTACGTCCTACTTTAAATTAGAAAGTCGGAAAAACACGGACGATGGAATGTGACAATGTAATAAGTGCCAAAAATGAAATTAGCCGCCTCACCTCGGAGCTACAGGAGAGCGATCGTGCTACTGTTACTCATCTCCGTAAGGAAGTTCTGCGTCTCACTGCAGAGTTGCAGGACAAACAAGCGCTTGTGTCCAAACTTCTTGAAGTTGCCGGTGGCCAACATTCACAGTTGCTGTCGTTGAGTGCAGCATATTACGATACAGTTGTTTGGGAGAAGTCCATTCATCCTGGGCCTTTGTGCTCAACTCCCAAGCTCCCGGCTTTGGATAATAAACGAACGGGCTGCGTCGAATCATCCAGTGCTGCTGTGGCTCATGTCCTGAGCCTCTCAAACCGATATGCTCGTCCTCTCCCCTGACATTCCGGCTCCATCATCGGAACCACTGGATCAGCAGGCACACTGTACCCCGGACTCCACAGATGACCCCACTGCTCCACGCCAATCTAAATCTGTCGCCAGAAAGACGCTCTTAAAGGAAGCAGTCATGAGGCGAAAGAGTGGTCCCCCATCTCTCCTAGCCCGGTCCGCTTGTCTGATCCCACCACAGCAGCCTCAACGTGAGGAAGTGAGCTATCACAGCCGCTCTCCTCCACCGGGTCAGCAGCAGCGCCCTGAGCCAGCCCCTCTGGACTCACCAACTTCCCCGATAACACAGAGAGGTAACACAGAGTTACCCAGACAGAAAAGTGAACATGCCCGATGCTCCCCATGTGCGGGGAAGCGCTCAAGTTCGGATCTTGCTTTGGATGAGCCCGCTGGTTCTGTCCATCGAGCGCCCTCTCCGCGGCCGCGTCCACTTTTTGCCCCAACGTCTTTGATTATGGGAGATTCCATCATAAGACACGTTCGCTTTTCTAACGCAGTCACTCACTGTATTCCCGGCACTACTGTCCCAGACCTCCTCATACGTCTCCCTCCTCTGCTTCGCTCTCTGCCGGAAACTATCTCCAAGCTGATCGTTCATGTGGGGATAAACGATATAAAACTGCAGCAGTCCGAGGTCACAAAGAAGCATTTTATGGATCTTTTTCGCCTCCTCCAATCCTCCGGTTTGTCTGTATTTATATCTGGTCCAATCCCAACCGTAAACCGGGGTGACTGTCTCTACAGTCGTGTCGTGGCGTTGGACATGTGGCTCCAGTCTACATGTAGATCCTTTAACTTTGCCTTTGTAAACAACTTCGGCCTTTTCTGGAGGCGTCACGAAGCCTATCGTTCGGATGGTCTCCACCCCAACAAATACGGCAGCAGTCTGTTGATGGACTATATTCATCAACCTGATCAGACCTGAAGACTGGTCCACAGCCGTTGGGAGTTGGCGGTTCTGTGACGCCCCTTGAGACAACTGTTGTTGTGATTTCGGGCGATACAAATAAAATTGAAATTGAAATTAATATGCAGTCGCCATAACTACATGTGAAAACCAGATCCTTTTGAATACATTTGAAACTAAGCAGGGAAGGGCCTTGTCAGTACTGTGATGGGAGACCTTTGGGAAAACCTGGTGCCACAATGGGGTGACTGTAAAGTGTGTGCATGAATCGTTGATATTTTTTTGGCGGGGCTGATGACCCATACTGGTTGCTTTGTTCTGTCAGTGTACCCCAGGACAGCTGTGTCTACTGTAGTAGTTTATATTCAAAAAAATACTTTTTTACTTTAGAGCCTGGTTCAAAACATGGCATATGGCGTAACATTGGCATATGATAACATTGAATCGGCTCTCAGGCCAAAGCAAAGTAGAGACTCACAGGGCTCTTTATTACTAGTATTTTATAATTGGTTTTATAACAAAATGTATAATATTGCTGTATTATTTATCACAAAATAAAAGTTAGGTACCCCACCTAATGCAATAGAATGTCTTCATGCAGAGGAGGAACATTATTCAGTAGTTTTGATTCAGAACCTTGGACACTACACGGACTGATTTCTGTTACCTCTTCCTGTTCCTCCAATGTTTCCTGCGTCGATGACAGGCCAGGATGAGCAGAGAGAGGAGGACAGCTGCAGCCAGTGTCGTCATGACGATCACTATGACGGACATGGAGTAGGCTGGGGAGGTGGAGGTCACGGGAGGGAAGCGAGCGACCGGCCGTGCGGTAGAAGGGTCCAGCTGCATCACTACATTGAAAAGAAAAGCAGGAGTACAGTAACTCACAAATCTCTTGAAATTGTGAAAAACCTACAATCTAGATTCATTTGTGGTCTGATTTGTCAACATTGCAACTTTTCAACACTCTTTCTTTCAGATAAATGGTATGGATTATTTAGGAAAGAAAAGAAGTATCCAAGTTTTAAGTTCATGAGACCAAAACAGATTAAAAAGGAGATCACATAAAACCGTACCTTTTCCCGTCTCCCCACACAGCGGCACCGCACAGTACTCCCAGCGGATGTTCGGATTGCTCGTAAAACACCAGGGCTTCTCGCTGATTCCTCCAGGATTCCGGCAGAAGTTTTCCGAGTCCTTTAACTCCGGAATCACATCCACAGACAGTCGATGTTGATGAGGGACCTAAAACACAAGTTGTTACACTCAGAAATACAAATATTTCTCTAATTAAGTGTAAAAGAAATGGTCTGGTTTAACTTTGGATTTGTTGCAAGTTGGTTAACAGTTTACAGACATGTTTTAATCCATTCATCCTTGTTTTGTTTTAAGAATTTCTATCAAAACCGGAAACACAAATATGTATTGTAATGTATTGTGTACTGTATTGCATTGTTTTTTTTGTTTTTTTTGTATTGTGTTGTGTTTTGTGTAGGGGCTCTCCTAGCCTTTTATGGACAGGTGTTGCAAATTAGCAGTCTTGCTATAACACTAAAAACAATGTATCTGGTTTGTCCAATGCTATTGTTATGTCCATACCAAATAAATAAATAAATATATATATATAATAAATAGGTGAATTTTTTATCAGACACGATTACTTACACTTGAGAAATGTAGTACCAGCCCAGTAACTATGCATAATTGAGACAAAACATACAGTATACATTGGCTTAAAGTAGTGTACCAGTAACTCTGAGACTGTTTTAGATCCATCCATGCTAGAAACATATTTGCACTAGGAAATCTGATTTAAAACCTCCTGTCTCAAACTTGTATTGCAGCCTGTGTAAATTCAGTCTGGTAGGCCATCTGCTGCAGCCCCTTTCACCCTCAGCCTACCACACAGGGCTGCCAACTGATGAAATTAAGCCAGCCGTTAAAAAGTGGAAACTTCTTAACAACTATGATGACTGCTGTTGTGATTTAGGGCAATACACGAATACATTGTGTTGTAGTGTGTTGTCAATAATGCTTTTCCAAGCCTTGCAACCACCACCTCCTCGCCTCCTCCTCGGCCTTCCAGTGCACGCTCTCGTCACAACTTTGCCCTCATGCCACCACCAGTACCTCGGCCCCGGGGGGATCATAACCGTCACACAAGCAATGATCTTCACATACAAGTGCTGCAGCCGGGGTCTTAGGTGCCAAACAAATACATTACTGAATGCATTTTCTGTCTCTGTGTAGTCCCTCTAGATTGAAATAGTATGATATAACTGTACCACTCGGGCAACATGCTTAAAGCTGTTTTCTGCCTTTTAAAACAAATGCATTGCCCATTTGTCAGATTAAAATCCTTCTGGTGGTAGCACAGAGTTACAGGCATTTTTTACCCCTCACACTTTTTTAATGTTATGTTCAACTTAAAGCTGCACAAACTCGAATGTGAGCGCTGGCCTCACTCTTTCTGCCCCCCCTCCCCACACTCACGGAGCTTCCCTTTTTCACAAAACAAATAAATTGATCTAAAATAAAATGACACGGCAGCACAAATCTGCGCTACTTATTTTTCTAAAGGACGTATATCCCAATGCATTGCATGGATATAGATTTCATTTTCGTGATAAGATTCAGATTCATTTATTTGCCATTTGCAGTAAAACCACATTGGAAAAACTGTGCACCAGGACGACACACACCAGAGCTCTTGCCACGGCGCCATCTTTACGGCGCCATAAGTGAGGTAATGCAGCTTTAAGATATTATTTCACATTTTTAAATATGCAATGACAAAGTAAACAGCATAATTAACATATTCATGGCCAATAGTAATAAGCAAAACAGTCCTGTATACTTCCCATGTATGTTTTTGCCTCCCAGCAGCAGGCTCCCAATGTGGAGTTCAAGGTAACATGAAAGTTCACTCCGAAAACAGGCAGTAAAGCCTTCTGTTGTGATGGACGTGAAGAGTCTGCTTATTTTCAGAACCTCCAAGCCAGCTCAAATACTGAACATCTGGCACTTTTGTGTGTGTTAAGATACTCATCAGCAGATCAATGCAGCAGCCGATCCTCGAGAGGAGAACTGTGAGATGCTCTGTGCTGATTGACTCATAGGCCTCATTTCCCACAAGGTCATGGGCCAATATAACACTGCTTTAAGCTAATGGACTGAAAATACATATAAATCTGCTGTAATAAACCTAAAAGTAGGGCAAATAACAGCCTGGGCTTCTACTGTTGGTCGTGCAAGACAAAGACTCATATGGTTTGAATGTCGAGGTTGTGTTCTGCCAAATATTTTATCTTTACTATAAAAGTATTGACTTAAAACATGTGTTGGTAAAGGTGACCTTGCACAATGTTATGGTTCACAGTTTAATAATGTACAGAGAAGATTTATGATATGTCATATAAAGCAGGTGTGCTGAGAGAGGCTATAGAGGTGAGCTTTGCAGGAGGCCGACCCGTGCAGTCAGGGTGTAAAACAGAGAGTGTAAGGGTAGAGCGGAATAAAGCACATGTTTTCTTTTGACCAATGATTTGAACTGCATGTATAAAATAAATAATAATCCATGTCAAAAGCGTCTTCTGGAGATTAAGAGGAGTGGTGTGTATGTTGGAAGGCATATGGTCCAAACTCGAGATGAATTAACTCATGAGCTTCATAGTATTTATTCTGTATATCAGATGTTTTTAAAAAGTGAAATATTAAGTATTTTCTTGATTTAAATGGAGGACATCACAATACACAATTACAATTATTTTTCATATAAAGAACATTTTGAAAACTAGAAATTAAACACATTTTTGGAGATGGACTGTAGCATTCCTTAAAAATGTTTTGCATATAATTTCATTGTTGTTGCTTTGATTTTTCATCCTAAACAGGCAGATGTTTATGCAGCTTTTTATTCAAGTGGTATCCACAGTTTTACTCAGTCCACTGATTTTCCCATGTGTTTTTGGGTGGGTATTACTAAAACATTGATAATACAAAAGATGAGAACTGCGTCAGAATGTATTTAACTTTAACAGTTTGTGCAGCTGCTAAATACTCAAAAGTGATGTCATTTATTTTGATCCACACTTACACATACAGCATGGTTTCTTTGAACATGTGGATCAAAATATTACACGTAAAATTGCGATAGCATTATGACTCATGGCCGCTGCTGTGGTAGAATCTAACCCTCTGTATTACTGTATTATTGCACTTACAGGAGGAAATGAAGACTTTGATGTCGATCTCACTCTAAATCAGCCAAATAAAGCTACAGTATTGAACAAGGCTCACTTTTCATCCTATGTGAACAAGCTGCAGTCTATGGCACTTCCTCGCAGCAGCACAGGATTCAAACACATATTATGTCACTGTATTTTCTCAGTAAACTCAGATTCTAGCAGAGACAAAACATCAGCATTCAGAGTGGACATAATGGCTTGTTCATGTTGTAATAACTTCATTTAGAACGCCACGGCAGAGTTACAAGGGCTAGAGGTAGAACTCAAATGGGAGGTGATGTTAAATGGACAGTTACATTTAAAGGGCCCATATCACGGTTTTTGACTTTTCTCTGCTTTAAACATAATTACAATGCTATTTGGCCTTCATACACATGCCCACAGTAGTTTATTCATTGATTCTGTCAATCTTTTGTAAGAGAGCCATCTGTCTCCTTCCCCAGCGTGAGGCACAGAAACGCTCGGGTCCACTTCAGTGACGAAAACCACACTGATGACGCGCATGACGCGCATGACCCCGTTTGCTTTGTATTTAAAATAGTTGTTAAATACTTTTGTCAAAACGGGGTAAACAATACACAATTAGTATGCTGTTTTTTGTCAAAAATAATAAAAATAAAAATAAATTAAAAGCCGGCGGGAGGTGATTGACGGATCAAAACAGCGAATCAGAGCGCACAGGCTCCGGCTCCCGAGTCCAGCGTCTGTGGTCTGGTCTCGCGGACACCACATAGAGCTGCTGTTTTTATGCTTTTGTCAGCAACTAAAAGTGTTAGGATCACGTCAACTTGAATGAAGTGTGTTATGGGTGTAAATATGTGACACACTATTTGGCCCTAAAAGGAAGAAAGCGGCTCGACTTTTTTCATCTGTTCATCTCATGGATCTATTATAAACCGGTTCATCTGCGACACTTCACTGAGACTGTTCCAGAACTACAGGGACAATGGAACTGGACTTACTCAAAAGCTGATCTGGAAACAAGTTATTCCCACGATAAAAGACGTAACACGGACCCCCTCGATCTGTAAGTAGTGATGCTAACTCGCTGTATACTTCTGTAAACTAAATAACTAGGGTTTGATTGTGCATCGAGGACATAGGGCTTGATGTGACGGATTGTCATTGTTGGAAAAAGTTTATTCTTATGTATGAAATTACTAAGTACAGGTGATAAACGTCAAAAGCGTGATGCTACGTCACCGTGCGGGCGGTGGGAGGCGGGCTCACAGGCAGAGGAGCAGACTCTTCTCTGGATCAGCTCGTTTGAGTCGAGGTGACGTCACCTCTATACAAGAGATGGCTCTAATCTCACAAGCTTTGATTGTTGTGTGGTGTATCATACACATTAATATCACACATGTGCATAGGATTGAGTGTGAAACATGAAGAAAAGCGTGATATAGGACCTTTAAAGACTGGGTACAGTTGGTCATCCAAACTCCCAGAAAACATCAAGTGTATGGCTAAATATCAATGTCAAGTTTATTTGTATGATTAATAACAAGCATTGCCATACAAAGTGCTCCTCACATAATACACAAATCAAAGGAACAATACGTATAAAAGTGCAATACAAGTTGGTCTATAGTAATAATAATAACTTCTTCTATAGTGGGGTTAAAGGAGGGTCATGTAACTTTCAAACCAAATGGAGCTTTGTAATAAAACTACTCCGTCACATCTGATTCTAGTCCCTCCCTATCAAAACAGTTTGGTTCAGTAAAGTCATAAAGCGTGGACCACCTTCACTCAGCCAATCAGCTCTCAGCCCGAAGCTTCAAATAGAAACTAACTCACAAATGACAATGTTTTCTAACACGATTAAAACAATGTGGCACTTATTCCATCTTTTAGGACAAACAAAATGTATCATTATGAAAAACATTAGGTATGCAATCTCAGGTATATTGGAGGATGTTCTTCTTCCGGGTGGATCATTGGTGATCATTCTGGTGATATGTGCTCGTCAAATAAGACCAGAAAGTTTTGTTCAAAAGGTGGAGAGGGCGGTTCTTTCCTAAAATTCGGGAAAATCTACCTATATTTATTTAAGTTGCTCACAGTAAGTAAGTAGTAGTAATTCATCTTTATTTGTATACTGTCTTTCATACTGGGCTCACTTCTCAGCAAGAAGGTCCTGGGCTCGAATCCCGGTCGGAACAGGGCCTTTCTGAGTGGCTCTTGCATGTTCTCCCCTTGTCTACGTAGGTTTCCTTCGGGTGCTCCGGTTTCCCCTACCACTAACAACATGTAAATGAGTGAGTGAATGGATGGTGTTGATTGGGGGCTGATGGTCCACTGTGTTCGGCGACTCGCTTCCGTCATCACCGTGTGTGGAATGATTGGAACAATATATGAACTATGAACATTGTAAAGCGCTTTGGGTGACCTTGGTCTGTAAAATGCGCTATATAAATAAACATTACTTACTTAGTTACTGACCAGAGTCACAAAGCAGTTTACAATTGTGGGCCTTTGTCTCTCACTCCACACAGAGGTGGGAGCAGGGTCGCCAGTACAGGAGGCGCATGCCAGACCTATTGTACATATTCTTTTAGTGGTAGGAGAAACTTACCTGTTCCAAGCGGGAACTTCCCTGTTCCAAGCGGGATTCGAACCTAGGACCTTCTTGCTGAGAAGTGACAGTGCTATCCACTCAGCCACCGTGCCGCCCTCTCAGGATACAGTATACTACATGATATAAAACAGATTCACCTCTAATGGAAGACACCAAATGTCCTGAAAATTTCTGTTCAGAACATACTTAAATAGATGCTAATAACCAAAATGCGTTTGCAACTGTGTCAAAATTCCATGCTCACGTGTGGCCATTTCAGCACATTCTAAATCTTTACGCTTTTCATTCTTTCGGTTTCATGCGGCAATACGACTTTTACGATTCATGACTGGGAACCCGGCGCGGCATGACTTGTTTGACTTGTCTGGGTCTAATTGTGGATTGCATAATATAACCTTAATGTTGGGTGACTTTCATGTAGTAACACTAGGGGGTTCTGTGCAGCATATGCGTGTGAAGGCTAATTGCTTCCAGAACCAGGATGTGAGTGAAGCGGCCCCTCCCTCTCTGCTGACCTGGCATACGAAGCCGAAAAGCGAGCGCAGGAGAGCAGTAACAGCAGTCCTGGCAGTAAAAACACACACAGGCAGTGGCTTTGCACGTGTTAGCACTTAGAACAACGTATACATGGTGGAGTTAAAAGTCAAAGCATCCGTGACACAGCATCCAGGAGTGTTATCCATTCTGCTCCGAAGGTGAAGACACTTTTGGATTGTAAATGTAAGTATTTCAGCCAAAGGGGAATTCCACAATGTGCAGGCGTTTTACAACTGTTTGAGGTCATGACATCAGTTGAGTAATGTGTAATATCCGAAGCAACACAATATATAGGTGAAATTCCAAAAATTGCCCTGTTCCGACCGCGATTCGAACCCAGTGTTAACCACTCAGTAACACACCAGACTTGACATTTGTCCCTTTGCATGTAATGTAAATGTGGTCTATATCATATGCTTAGTTTACATTTTTAGTTGAATAAAAGCTGCAAGCGGCAATGACAGCCTTTGCCACTTCTTGCGACCACCTATAGAGAATAAAAGTGTAGTTTCAGTCTTTGAAATTGTTATTGTGTCCTTCTTTATTTTGTTGTTGTTGATCAATGACCAAATGTATTATAACTACAACTCAGTGAGAAGAAATGCCTTCAGTCTAGATTCAACTTGCATCATTCATTTACTTTGAGAAGAAAAATATCGCAACATCTATAATCATCACAGACCAAGATAACAATGTAGCATTTAAAACCAATAACCTCTTAAATTCCAATATTGTTCAGCCTTCCTATAGACAATATTTAGACACAGTGGTTGGATGGAGTTGTTGCTTCTTTGGCAGGGTGTGTAGCGAGGCATTTACACATGTTGGAAGGGGGAGAACAAGGGCATCTAAGAATACACACACACACACGTTACACAACTTGCCTAATGTGACATCCTATATCTACTATAAAATCTTCAATCCTTTGGCAGCTATAAACACTGTCCAAGTCTTGAACAGAGTCCAGCCTCGGAAAGCCTCTTGAGAATGTGAATGTTATACAATATTACAGCGTGTCCCTGATCTCTTTGTACTATCAATGATGCTCAATAACCCATCATCGTCAGGCAAGTTTCTCAAGTCCAAAGTCCTTGTACCTTTAACCATTTATCAAACCACAACACCACCTGCGTGCACAGCCTTGACCTTTACATGTACCAGCTGTCGAACTCTAAAAGTACCTGTTGATTCCAGGCCTGACAAGGGATTCCCGATCTGGACGCGTTGACATCCCCCTGGTAAAAACGTCCTTTGTCGTTGTAGCAGATTTCTGTAACACACAAGGAATAATACAACATTGTTAGGGGCAGTATGTAAAAAATCTGGCCACAAGTGGTACTGCAACCTCTCCCACTCTCCCTGACTCAGGTATCCAGATATACAAATGAATCCAGCTGGGATCATAATAACTGAATAGAAGAATAGTTTTTTCAACAACAAATATATAACCAACACCTTTTTCACAAAGGCCCTGATAGAAATCCTCGTTTCATTCCTTGTTTTGTCATTAAAGATTTGAGAGTCATAACGAGACCTTTTTGTTCTGCGGCCCCATGTTACTTTACAGGTGAGATTGGCTCGGCGCTGTGAGTTCTGGCAACTCGGAACAGGGACTTTCTGATTGGTGAAACGGTGGAGGGCGGGACATCGAAATGAAAACAATAACAAGCGGCTGTAAAACTATTTTTGAAATTCAAATATCTCATCTGAACTACTGTTATTTGAATTGATTTAAGTATTTGAAAAGAGCATGGTTTACCTTTTGACAGATTAGCGCCAATTTAATGATGACTTGAAATGAAAATCTTACATATTGCTCCTTTAAGATTAGTCAGTTCATATCATGACTCACCTGTCACTTCATTTCTCTTGATGTCTGAAATCAACAACAACTTTGTATGAATATTCAAATGTGTGAAATATTTTGAAACTGCACTTTTCTTCTGTAAATAGTGTACATACCCACAAAGGGAACATGTGTACAAGCGCCAGGGTCAGCGTGCAGACTGGGTAAGGTCAGGCAGTTGGGCAGATGTAAAGAAGGAGACACAGGTCCGCTCAGGGGCCCGTAGAGACCCGACTGCACTGAAGTGGCACTCTCCAGAATCATCCACTCTTTATGGCAATACAGCTCCTTCACTGCCAGGCAATGCTCCCTGTCACACACACAGACACACACGCACACACAAGCCAATATGGTTTACACTTTGCTTTGTTGAGGCTAAAATCCAAGCAACGAGAAAATGTCCTAAGGTTGTTGGTTTGTTATGCTCTGCGTTTATTTGTGATGACCTCGAACTACTGCAGAATATACACATAATAGACATATGAGAATGATGGGGAAAGCATACATTTAGGGAGTACTTTACACTCATAGGTTGACACAGTCTTAGCTGAGCACACTTTACACTAATAATAATAATATAACTCATAGAAACTCAAATACCCTTCATATGACATTATTCTTTCACTCCAAACATGGTGGTAATAAACTACTATCACTACTACTCTAGCCATACTGACAGAAGTGAGACAACCAGTACGACCCATCTCTGACCACCAACCAAAATGGTGAGTGAGACTATATTAAAGGAGTTTACTTTTCAATACAAGCCAGCAGGTTAGCATTGTCCGCCCATATGCAGTTTGTGGTATACCCATCCTCTTGTAGAGCGGCACTGAGACATAGACATCAAAGGAGTGGACAAACTGAGTGCTGATTCCCGATAGGTTGACTTATTGCGTGAACTCGAAAAGGCTCCATGAGCAGGAATCTGAAGCCAAATGACATGAGAAGCAACAATATAGCAACCAAAGAGGGCCACTGATCTGTTTCCGTTCGTACTTGCTAGCTAAAGCCCAATAGATGTAGACAGTGCATGACTGAGAGCTCTTTGGCCTCCAAGCTCAATTAAGTCACAAATAGCAAATCTAATCGGATCAAATTATGTCAAATAATCAGTCGTGGACAAGTGGGAGAAGGCTTTTTTTCTTGACATCTCAGCCCACAGTTCCATACCTGCAGACCGGTTTGGGAGCGGGTCCTAAGCCGGAGGGGTTACAGTCAGGGAAGGCAGAGTGACACAGCAGCGATCGCACAGCAGGACCACATGTAGCACTGAGGCCCTCCAGCTCGTTCCACCAGTTCTGCACCAGATACTCCTGCATGTCCTCGGGGTCCGACAGCGACGAGTTCAAGAAGACCAGGGAGTCGTCTCGCAGGATGCTCCGACAAACATCTCCCCTGTAGGCACTGCAGTAGCCTGTCACCCCTTTGTACAATCTGGAAGAAAGGAAACAGATGGTCTACTTTATCTTGGCCAGGGGTGTCCAAACTTTTCAGTAAGAGGGCCACTTTAAATATACAGACTTGTGCAGGGGCCGACAACATGGATTGTAAAACTGTTTTGACTACAAGAAAAAAAAGTTAACAATTTCAAACTATTGAACTTTTTAATTTTGTGAAATAGATCAAGGTAGTAGACCAAAAACAATTTTCAAAAGATAATTAACAACAACAAAAAATACCTACCTATATTTATTTTACGTAATTGTTTTGTATTTTATTCTTGCTCATCATATTACTGTCTTTGATCAGTATGTCTGGTGGGTAGATATTCAACCAGTGCGAAGGAAATCATTTGATTTTAAACCTGGTTTTGCAAACGTACACAAAAACATTGCAAACCTTTGACAATGCACTTTCCCCATATTTGTCAGATAACTATAGCTCATCTGTTTATCGGTCTGGATCCGTCCAAACCGTACGCATAAAATACTGCAGATCACTGTGAACCTGTTGTCTCTGTGCTTTAGTCTGTCTGGACCGCACTGTACTTTAGTGCTGTGAGTGTTCCTTCAGTCCAGATGGGGCTGTGTGGGGGAGGCCGGACTCACCACAGCTAAAGACTGCATCAAACCCTCTCCGGCCTGTAAATCAGTCAGCTGCGCACTCAGACGACGCTTTGGTTTCTCCTCCATCATTTGCTCCTCACAATCACACATTTGTACATGCGGCCCTTATCAGCTCCAGATGTGAAAGCAGTCTTGGGAAATGTTTAGAAATACTCACCAATTGTTCAAGTAAAAGATTTGGCAAAAGGTACTTGTTAGACTTTGTTACACGCATATACTGTGGCATTTACTACTGCCGACATTCACACTACTTTTAAATGGTATGCAGCAATTAAGATTATAATATTATCAGCCAATGTGGTGCACATATTGTTTTTATAGTAGCAGTGGACCTCCGCTACTGTTAGGCAATGTAAATTCTTCTTCTTTGATTTTCTAAGATGTTGGAGAATTAATAACACACATTGAACCCCTTGTCTATAAAGTATAGGCTTTTACTAAATGGTTCAAGTGTTTAAAAGGCCTAAAACCAAGTGATATAGATGCCCCAATGAGGTAGAGTTCAGTTAGAAGTACATATAGTGAATCAAAAAGTGATTCACCAAATGCTTGAGGAAACCAGGGTTAACTGAATGAATAATAATTAATTAAACTAAGAGATCTTTTGAAGATAAATCAAACCATGCGTTTTAATTAATTAGAGAAGCAACTCAAATGCGACACCGCTTTCAAAGATTTAAATTTGGAAATTGTTTTAAAAAATGCATTAGACCCTACAAACAAAATGACCAATAATCACTAATCACATGTGCTGCAGTTATGACCCTTACCTCCACTCTATTGGGAAGTGGCAGAATCCAGACGACACCAGATGAAGTGGCAGGAAAAACACATGTAACAAAAAAGCATAAATTAGAAAAGGCACGGTGAGTTTGGAGCTAAAGAGAGTAAATGCCATGATGCTGTGTCATGTCTCGCAGTCGTAGAGTGACAGACAGAGTAAAGAAGCTGTGTGGTCCGTGACCCCCGGGGCACATGGTGGGTGGGGGTTTGGGGGGGGGGATGGGGAGGTTTGGCTGTTGGACAAATGGCGAGACCACAGCCGAGGTCCGGAGAATAACACAAGAGGCAATCAATGCATTATTAACACTGACAGCAACAATATTTGAATTCATGATTTGTGATTTGATTGTATAATTAAATAATGTAGGTAGTTAGGGCTGACAATATTTATTCAAGTTAATTTGAATATTGTTTTGTCTGTCTTTCTGAACTGGCTGTCTGATGTTTTGATGAATATATTTGAGAATAGATTTGTAAATTGTAAGTGAAGTTTTTACTGCGGAAATGTGTCTCCTGCATTTGATCCACCCTGAAATGCCACTAGGTCCTAAAATTAGCCATAACTGGAGCTCCAGGATTTTACCTATTGTACATGTTTTAGCGGAAGGGGAAACCTACGCAGACACAAGGAGAACATGCAACCTCCACAGAGGACAATGTGAGGTGTCCTACAGATGAACGGTCTGAAACGGTCTTTCTCTGGAGTTCAGGGAGAGCCACACCCCGAGCTTCAAACACTTAAAGGAATTACTGAAACGCAGCTGGAATATTTTCTTTAAATTTTTTCATGCAGATGCGATGCTCATTAATGTGCAGTTTCCATGTTAAATACATTATAAAATACCTGCGGAATAGTATGGTATAGTATGTTTTATATACAGGGACAGAAGGTCACTCTTTTGCAGTGAAACTTTTGCAATGAAGTCTGGCATGGCCAAATTTACATAAACACATAAAACACAAATTGTCTGGCATTTTGCTAAGGTCATGGTTTATGCAAAAAGCGCCTAAAGTAAGTCTCAGGATTATTTGTTAACGGCTGTTTCCCAGGACTGTGCCTCGTAAAATGAAAGGTGACCGGAGTAATGGCCAAAACATCATTTTTAATAGCTACCAGTAGTGAGCAGTATGTGTCAGACCGCTCAGCCATGTTTATGATCCTGCAGTAACTTCATCAAGTTGTAGTGGAGTTGGATTGTATTTTGATTATTTAGATTTTACCAGAGATTGGACAGAAACAGCGAAATCAGTTATTGCTAGTCACTCATAACATGGTGTAAACAGTGCAAAGCTCTCCCATGGTAAAATTCTCACACCCTGCAAATTCCTGGGACTGATTTGAATCATAAACAAAACACATTGTCAATTTGTTTTAAATAAAGTGAATGGGCGTTTTGGGACACCTCCAATTTGTTTGAATTAGTTAGAAATTCTTAGACCAACTAAAATTGTACCTGCGACAGTGACTCGAGCGGTGGCCTTGACCGTGTTGGCCCCGGCGCTGTGTCTGTTGGAGGCCAGGCAGGTGTACAGAGCTGGTTTAGTCACAGTCACCTTCAGAACAGAGAGGATCACATCTGCCACCAGCGTTTCATCCACTGATGCACCGCTGATCTGCAGAGACACAATAAAGACACACAAATCTATGCCCAGCTCTCCAAATTTAGAAACTGTTGATGACTGTATATAAAAAATAAATAAAAAATAAAAGTCGGCGACAGTGGCTCAGTTGGAGGATCAGTGAGGGGCTGCTGCTACAGTATGTGTACTGGGTGCAGCTCTGATTGGCACCCCTCAAACCAGAAATGGATTAAGGGGAAGAAAATGGATGGATGGACGTTTACGGACATCGATCATCCCACTACCTTTTGGACCATTGAATCCTCTGTTTGTTTTTTTCTTCCATTTTGTCTATTTTAAATGTTTGATTATCTAATCTGACTGCTGTTAATTAACAAGAAAGTTCAGTGTTTCAGCGGCCTCTCCTTCATAGACAATTCCATCTGACATTAGGTTTCTCCATATGTACTTTGTCCTTGGTCATTGAGTGGAAAAACAAACCCGACAATGAACACTGATTCATATTCATAACTTTCAAACAAACTGAATGTTTTTTATAATAAATAATCCACTTCAATTTCAGTCAACAAACCAGTGTAACTATTGGTGAAGTATAGATTGTATTAAAACAGCTCATAACTCAAAACGACATATAGTGACTAACAGAACTTTCTCATAATATAAAGAGAAGAAATCTTATTTTTTTTTTTACAACATTTACATTTTCCAAGACTAGTTCTAATATCACTTATTATATATAGAACAAAACCGTTAGTTTCCCCAGGGTATACTTGGTTGTCTATACAGAGAATTGTGTAAATTTGTGTTCCTAATGCATGAGGAAGTATTGATTGTATTTAATCTACCGTGCAAAAATGAACACTAAAAATATTATTTCATTATTGTCTCCATTATAACGTCCTCTCCAAACTACCCATCTACCCGGCACGGCACGGTGGCTGAGTGGATAGCACTCTCGCCTCTCAGCAAGAAGGTCCTGGGTTCGAATCCCGGTCGGACCAGGGCCTTTCTGAGTGGAGTTTGCATGTTCTCCCCGTGTCTGTGTAGGTTTCCTCCGGGTACTCCAGTTTCCCCTACCACTAAAAATATGTCCAATAGTTCTGGCATGCACCTCCTGTACTGGCGACCCCGCTCCCATCTCTGTGTGGAGTGAGAGACAAATGCCCAAAATTAACAATTGTAAACCGCTTTGAGACTCAGATCTGCAGTGAAAAGGCGGTATATAAATAAAAACTTACTTGCCCCACGGCATGTGGAAAAGGCATGTGCAGTCATAAGTATTCAACTAGATTATTGTGGCGAAGAAATAGAAAAACAATGGAAAGGGACTTACATCAAAAACAGTTGAATGCAGTGTTTTGACAACATTGAGAAATAATATCAACCAGATTTGTTGCTCAAAACCAAAAAATATTCATTTTGTTGAACTAATTTCTAACTCTCTTAATCATCAGACTTGCTAACTTGAACATTATTCTGTGTAATTTGAAGTCATCAGTGAATAAAGTCTAACAACCCCCTGATAACTCCATGTATTAGTGACTAAATGAAAAGCAAGCTCTCAATCCTCTGAGGATTCCTGCTCTGTTTGGATTACTGATCCATCAAAACCAGGAGGGGTGCGAATGTGTGCACTGGACAGAAACAAGGGAACATACAGAAGAGCCAAAAGGAAAAAACAAAACAAAAAACATATTACATATTTTGTTAGGTTGTGGTTTAAAAAAATTATATAAATTAATTACTTCATCATTGTTTGTATACAATATTTCCATTATACCCAAAGCTATCAACAAGACTGAAAGACTGGGTAGCAGGTAGCAAGACTGGGGCTGAGTTCCAATAGATGTTTGGAAACTACCCGCATGAGCCCTTCTTGATAATGATCATATGTAATAATATATACACATTTCCAATCTCATATTTCATTTAATAAAACATGGAACTATAGCCAGAGGTGGATTCCCGCTCAAAAAGTCATGAAAAATGTTACGGAAATGTATCCCTATTCTTTAATTGATCTAGGTTGGCAAGTAAATCCGATTAAATTCTTCAATTTATGTATTAGTAGAGACATAACTTCTGATAGTTTATTTTTCATTTTGTTTGCCAACTGTGTACATAGTTGAAAGAGATAAATATGCTCATAGTAAGTATGTGAGCCCAATGTTTTGTTGTGGGAATTGATACTGCTGATTCTAAGACAATACAATCTTACAATAACATTGACTGTTTTGTAGCAACCTAGTGTTATGGTTACAGCAGCTGAGACTGTGTGCTAATGCTTTGTATGTGACAAAATGCATGATAGTAAGTAACGATAGTCTGCAACGAGTAGTGGACTGAAACAACTGTTGATCAAAGTGATTTTCATGTTTCCATTTATACACATGTTAAAATCATAGACTGTAAATATTAACGGACATGTTACGCCTCCGCCGTTGAAACTAATGTGCCACCACTTTCGCCTTCTGTGGGCAGTTTAAAAATGGCTGTGGGGCAGGAAAATGTTGAAAAAACTCCTTTGGACATGCGTTAGGTGGCACGAGCCCAATTCATTTGACGATTGCCCTCAAAAGTCCAAAAGAAAACATCAGCATTGACACACATCTGGACCATAACGTTGGGCCAAGAGCCGACTTTTGGACCATACTGTAAACCGTTTTACAGAGGTAAGAAGACGCCATACACAAGCATTGGATAATTCTCTTTCGGCATCCACCCCCCTCTGGCCTGGAGTGGTACTGCAAGTATGTCAGCACACGTGCTCATGGACCTTTTTGAGCCAGGACTGGTTCAAATAAAATTCTTGGATAAACTTGTTCTTAAAGGAAACAACTTTTTAAAATATTTTGATGACTATTAAATGTAATTGTATAATTTGAATTAATGCATGCAAAAATCAACTCCTTCCTCCAGTGGTGTTATAGAGAATTACAAGTGGAAAGTATTGTTTACCCTTCATACTTGTTATTTTTGACTGAATATTTTATTTTGAAAACATGAGAAAACATTGAAAACAACAATTCTTCTGATTTGTAATGGTCAAAACAAAGCACAATAAGTTTTCTTTAATACTTTGATTGATTTTTGGAATAATTGGAATAATAATAAGGTTGCTGTTTCATCCCTTTTAATTTTACGACTGAATCTTGAATCTCTACCAAGACGATATATTCACAATAATGCCTTTGAGTTCCTAACATATACAAAAACCAAAGAAACCAATTTTGTTTGCCAACATCAATCAAACTTACAGTATTTCCATTCTCCAGCCAGGTGATGGTGGGGATGGGGTTTCCAGTAGCGTTACACTCTAGGGATATCTGGCTGCCATATGCGACCCTCTTCTCTTTTGGAACTCGCAAGATCCGAGCCGGCGCTGCAGACACACACAAATCACAGGCAGACGAGGGGGACGCTTTAATGTGTTGCACGAGACAGATGCTGATCCATTAGGTTCCATGATGAGACAACAGACATAACTCATTACCCGTAATTGTAGTGATATATCTGAGTGGTTAGCCTTGAAAATGCAATCTTCTTTTGAGTTAGAATAAAGGTACCATATCTCTCACCACAAAAAAAATCATCTTTCTGGCTCTAATGCAGCTTGATTCTATCTCTTGTTTTCAGATGCATATTTTTTTGGCCTCTGTCACATTTTTAAATCAGCTTTTTCAAATCGAAAAAAGAAAAAAAATAGGTATTATCAGTCATCAACCCGAAAATATCCAATAGTGAGATTAAAGTGATTCTTTTTGTGAAAGTTGTGAATTTAGTGAAGAGGTTTACCACAGACAAAACAGGACAAAGACTTTTTGTTCCCAAAGAAGTAATCAAAAAACATATCATTTTTATTTACCAAGTGTGTTCTAACTTTCAGGAAACAGACTGAATTGGTTTTGGGTGGGATAATTAAAATGAGTTCTCAATTAGAGAATAAATTACCTTGCACTTCTATGGTGACCGGTTTGGAGAAAGCCAAACCAAAACTGTTCCTGGCCACACATCGATACTGGCCTGCGTCCTCCTTCTGAATGGTGTGGATCTTTAGCGCTCCATAGTCCAAGATGGTCACACGCTCACTCAACTGGGATAGAAAAATGCAATGAAATACATAAGTAACAAAGCCCTCAACAGATAACAATCTTACTGCACCTTGATAAGCTCATCGTCTTTGAGCCAAGTGACATCAGGTTTTGGGTTTCCAAACGTAACACACGGCAGCACAGCTTTGGAATCGATCAACAAGGTCACGTTGGTGGGATGGCGCTTGATTTGTGGCTCTACAAAAAGAAAAACAAGAGAGAAAATCTATCAATATTCTCGTTCTCCTTTAAACCTTGGCCCTTGTCTAATAATGCATTGGTTTTACGTGACGCTTGCTTTTTTGGACACTCAAAGCCGCTTCACATGCCAATATTCTTTCATACACAGGTGATAAACTACTACATTGCCACATCTGCCCTGAGGCACACTGACAGAAGTGATGCAACCAGTATGTGCCATCGGTCCTACTGACTACCATCAATCATTCACACACTCACTAGACTCTTTCTAGGCAATCTGGGTCAAGTGTTTTGCCTAAGGACAACACAACACTTTGGAACTTTACAGCCGCCCCAAAGTGGCACCAGGTGTTCCCAGAGATCTCCCATCTCAGTACTAACCAAGCCCTTCCCTGCACAGCTTCAGAGTTATTTTTACTTGTCATGGAGAAATAGCAATGACTTTGATCTAACATAAAAATATGAACAATATTGCAAGATCGATCCAATGTTTTGTTACACTTGATGCGATATGGGCACAACATGTACAGTATCCATCCAAACAAGGGTGTTTGTCATTTCACTTTAGTTGAAATGGGAACAACATACTCATTTTCAGCTGCAGGGCCCCACAGCTCTTGGCCGGTTCTCCAACACCATTATTGGCGACGCAACAGTACTCTCCATTGTCCGCCTCTCGTACGTGTGGAATGATCAGCATCTGTCCCTGCTCCCTGGTGATGTAGCGCTGGTCATAATACCTGGTGGAAAATAGGAACAATGCAAATATATGAAAGTCATTTTGCCATTTGAAGAGATTACCCGTGTGGAGAAGGTGTCATACATTATTTGATGGTTGTTCTTGGTCCATGTGATGTCAGCAGAGGGGCGGGACTCGACTTCACAGATAAATGTTGCATTGTGGTCCAGCAGCACATCCACTGTCTCCAGTAGTGTGATGATTCGAGGAGCTGGAGGAGATTGGGATAGAGAAGATGGATCAAGTTTTATACATGTCGTTCAAATGATTTTATACCTTTTAACCACGTGACAGCAAGCTCCTGTCATCCAAAACATACTCAGAGTAGTTTTAACTAAAGATATCCCCTACTCCCTAGTGAGAGTAGGAGGCGTAGTATTAAAGCGCTTCATTTTCGCTACCTGCCTCTCCTCTAGAGGACTGCTGCATCATTATCAACCACATGGAGAAATATATTAATTATTAACATGTTTATTCACAAGAACCACCTTGATCCTTATGCAAAGTAGTGTATATCGTGTGACGTGTCTCAATAAACATTTAGTGACACATGAAAAAGTGCGTATGAAAGTGCTATACAGACAAGTGGAGTACAGCAACAATAAAAAACACGAAACAATACAATAAATACAGACAAATAAAAACAAAAACATTTTTTTTTACCACCAGGTGTTGAAAGCCAAAGAGAAAATGTATGTTTTAAGTAGGGATTTGAAGTGATCAAATAAGAAGGTGCCATTCTATTGTAACTTTTCGAAACAATAATGCAAATTGTATAAAACATTGTCTTAAATTAAATTAAAATAATACATTCTGCCAGAGCTGCCCTTTGTCACCAATTCTGTTCACTGTGTTTATGGACAGAATTTCTCTCTGCTGTTTGCGGACGATGTTGTCCTGTTGGCTCCAACAAACCAGGACCTGCAGCATGCACTGGAGCGGTTTGCAGCCGAGTGTGAAGCGGCTGGGATGAGAATCAGCACCTCCAAATCTGAGGCCATGGTGCTCGACTGGAAAAAGGTGCCTTGCCCTCTACAGGTGGGTGGAGAGGTCCTTCCTCAAGTGGAGGAGTTCAAGTATCTCGGGGTCTTGTTCACGAGTGAGGGAAGGATGGAGCGTGAGATTGACAGGCGGATCGGTGCAGCGTGCGCAGTGATGCGGTCGCTGTATCAGACCGTTGTGGTAAAGAGGGAGCTGAGCCGAAAGGCAAAGCTCTCGATTTACCGGTCAATCTTCGTTCCCTCCCTCACCTATGGTCATGAGCTTTGGGTAGTGACCGAAAGAACAAGATCGCGGATACAAGCGGTCGAAATGAGCTTCCTCCGCAGAGTGGCTGGGCGCTCCCTTAGAGATAGGGTGAGGAGCTCAGTCACACGGGAGGAGCTCGGAGTAGAGCCGCTGCTTCTCCACGTCAAGATAAACCAGTTGAGGTGGCTTGGGCATCTGTACCGGATGCCTCCTGGACGCCTCCCAGGGGAGGTGTTCCGGGCACGTCCCACCGGGAGGAGGCACCGGGGAAGACCTAGGACACGCTGGAGGGACTATGTCTCTCAACTGGCCTGGGAACGCCTTGGGATCCCCCCGGACAAGCTGGAGGAAGTGTGTGTGGATAGGGAAGTCTAGGCGTCTCTGCTTAGACTGCTGCCCCTGCGACCCGGCAACGGATAAAGCGGAAGAAAATGGATGGATTGATGGATAATAAATTCTGGAATATGCAGGGAGCCAGTGCAGTGAATAGGAAGAATGTGGACTAAATGCTTTTTCCCTGTTAAAAGTGAAGCTGCTACATTTTGCACTGAGCTAGTCCTGGTCAATGCCAGCAAAGAGGGAGTTACAGACTTACAGTAGTCAAGCATGACATGATAAAAGGATGAATGGCCTTCTCAATAGTTGTATAACCTTCTTTACCTGATACACATGAAAAATTGTTGTTGTTTTGAGAAACTAGTCAGTAAAGCTATAGCTAAAGGTGCTGAGACTTTTTTTATGACAAAATTCCTGTGTTTTTTCTGCAAATATACCTTCTGTTTCTATTAGAATCTGATCCAAAGTGGTATTACACATGACCACTGTTGCCTCATAATCACAACTAAAATGTTTTCCAAAACAATAACACATCTGGACAAGACAAGACAGTTCCCAGCACAACGCTTTACTTGTTTCCAGAGTCGGTGACGCTATTTGTAATGTTTCATCCAGAACAAATTCCAAACTGAATCTTTTGTCCGAGTTCAAGAGCAGGCTGTATCCCCTGTGTGCACGCTGTTCGTGATCACATTTCAGCACTCATTGGAGAGGAAAGCTTCTGCGTTTGGACTGCGCTGTTAAAAGAGTCGGAACATGTGGTTTGTTTGGGGAGTTGGAGGAAGAGCAGGTTTGTTTATTAAGCTAAGTGAGTCAAGGATTACAGAGAAATGCATTTGTCAGCGTTTGAATTATATTTATAGAGAAACGCATAGGGAGTTCATAGTTATTGATGGTTGGCAAGAATGATATTCACTAGAGTTGTTGAGTTTTGCTTTGAAATATTGGGATTTGTTAAGACTGGGGTACCTAACTGTCAAACTATTTAAAAAATATATACCTACAGTATGTAATCAATCCAACTACAGTAGTTCCTCTCTCTCAAAACAGTTTGGTTCTATCACAATTTCCCACATGCATGTACTGTATTTTTTGGCCTCTGTCACATCTTTAGTTCAGCATTTTTCTGGTAGAATAGGTAAACATTGACAACCACTCGCAATCAGCCGAAAAGCTCTCAGCCTAAAGGATCACTTCTGGTTGTTACTCACTCTAGGGCTTATTCTAGTATGCAAAAGCTAACATGCTGCTATTATAATAAAGACCTCTATCTCTACCAGAGGTTATAAGAGTTCTTTGGAGTATCTTTGCTGATCCTAGCATTGCACATTTCTGGGCCGAGATTTCCAAGGTTTTGTCCAGGAATCTGCTGTAACCACTCCTCCAGTTTGGCGGTCACTGTCCCCACCGATCACCACAGGCACTACTGTCACTTTTACTATCTAGGCCCTCTCCTGCTCCTCTCTGAGCTCAAGGTATTTACTATACTGTATACAAAAACATAATCATAATAATAATAATGAAAATAATAATAATAATAAAAAACACAATCATGCACCAATTATGCCAGTATGTTTCTTAACCATTGTGCCCAAATCAACTTATTTTTTGAGTTGAATTTTGATGATTCTTCCTATCTTGACCAGCCCTGAGCTTTTTATTTAGCTTTTAATTTAGAGAATTTGTTTTCTACTTTTAATAATCTCTGGCAGGTCAATTTGGCCCAAGGGTTAAAATACTAACTAATGCTAAAGCTAATGCAGAGACTGATTGCATTGATCTATGAGACTATTACTTGACGGCAACAAAGGTATGCTGACCTCTGGTGGATTGTAGTAGTACTGCATACTAGTATTTCTTACGTCACCATGATCTATTTTAGTTGTAATAATGTATATAGCTCAATAGATAAGATCAGATTCAGATTCATTTATTTGCCATTTGCAGTAAAACCACATAGGAAAAACTGTGCAAGACTACCCCAGTGTGCACCAGACGACACACACCAGAGCTCTCTTAAATGTTGGCCCTTAACAACCTCTTTGATTGTCTTGGTTTTTCAAAATGTACAAAATCTCACTTGAACTGATAAAATTGAAGAAAAGACATTGAGAAATCAGTCTAGATCTAGATGGACAATGGCTTAACATTCTATCAAGAGTATTCTCCCCCTGTGCCCAAATATGTACTGCATGTTCTGGCCTTTCCCACAGTTGTTTTGTCCACCACAGAGATCAGAACATTTGATCTTATGATCAGTGCCATCTGTTTGGTACTTTGGCATAAATGTCAGTTTGGTTGTTTGCTTTTGTGCAGTCATCTTTGTTTTTGTATTTAAATCAAACACAGCAAGGTGATAAATTATTAGACTACATTACTCTCGAAACATGCATGTATACTCTACATGTACAAGACTTGACATAGATTTAAAAGTTGTATTTAATAACTTCATGGCGCACACAGAGAGGAGATATGTACATGGAAGTAAGTGGCAAGCTTTGCATAACACGAACAGAAGCAGGTGATCCCAATAAATTAGCTTGTCCATCAAATAATAGTTTCCTCTGCTTGTTTTACTTTATAAGAGAAAGGGAACTTCTAAAAACAATAACAGAAAACATAAACTAAAAAATAAAACTATAATATAGGGTAATTTTTGTGAGAAGCCATGGTTTGCAGTATAGAATTCATCCATCTAACACTCTACTCTAATTTAGAAAAAACAGATCAACATCTGCATTATTTTATACGGTGAGAATCAAAGCATTACAAACCACTCTGTAAATAAAGGGAAAGAAGAACTCTGTGCTTAAATCCTCCAAAGCTTCTCTATTGTGTGTGTGGAGACTGCTGTGACAGTGACAGCAGGAAAGCAGTACGTGGAGGTTTTAGAGGACTGTTGAGCAGTGTTACAATACAATATTATACAACCCATCCAAGAAGAAACATGCATAAACAGTATTATACAACCGACATGACTATTGCTGATAATCAGGATTAAAGATGGATTATGGCTCATTAAAGTTGGATCCACCAATTGTTTGTCAAGTTACACAACTCATGGTCCATGGAGAAAGGAATTCTGAAGACAGATGGATAGATAGAGACAGACAGATATACAGATAAATAGATGTTGAATCAAACCACAGCAGCAGCAATTATAAAAATATAACTTTATCTCAACAGTAAAAAATTAGCTCAGCAAGTTGATAAAAGGAATAAACAGTATTAACAATGCAATTTTCCAAAAATAAACTACATAAAGCATTTAAAAACAGGTGATGCTACCAGGCCAAGCAGGGATCACACTTATTAGAATTGTTGAAGTTGTATTTTGCCATAGATAGCTGGATAGTTAGATAGATAGACATACTGTAGGTAGATGTATAGATAATGTATTGTAACTGTAAAAAATATAACAAAACATAGCATTTCAAAAACATTCAAAACACTGTTATATATTAGTTTATCTCAGCAGTAAAATAATAGCCCAGCAAGTTGATAAAATTAATAAATAAATCCATACCCACTGGTCACCAAAATAAAAATGCATACAACATAAAACACTACACCACGTTTCGGGATGAGAGATCGAGTTAGGGTCCTCTCTTTTATAATTTTTCTTCCTCAAAAGACCAAGGCCATGGATGCGGAAACAAGCGATCGGCAGTTTGAGAGAGGAACTTGTTCTGTCACATAGTTCCATTGTTTGTGGTTTAAAAGTTATGGACGCCAGCTCCAGATAAGATCTCTAATCCTTGCGTGAATAGTGACTCAAAAGGCTCTTTCCTACAAGTATGCCAAAAAAGAGGAAGGCAGCATGTTGGGTCTTATGTGTATTTTTCTTTTTCTGTTGGGACAAACAACATGTATTTTTAATGATATATAGGTCATTACAGCTTTAAATGTGAACATGAGAAAGCTGCAACTGTTGTAGCAATGACATGAATGAATGTTGTAGCCAGAATCTTTTCAAATAACCTAAGGCCCTGTCCACACGAAGTCAAGCTCAGGCCTAAACGCAAAAATACTTTATCAATCCAGTGTATCGTCCATACGAGGCCGGCGTTTTGGGGGGGTGTAAACGAACATTTTTGAAAGTAGGTCCCAGAGTGGAAAGATTTCAAAACTCCGTATATGCCGCTCCGTGGTTACTGCCTCTCTGCAATGTATCTGAGACGCTTGCGTCATCGCCCCGCCTCTTGTTAAAGCACGCATGCGCCGCACTCAGAAAATAATGACAACAACAATGTAGCTTGTTGGTTTTGTAATCCAGTGTGACCCGAAGCAACAGTTCAACCTCATCGTCCGTCCATACTAATGTAGTACCAGCTCGCCCACTCGCCATGTTGTCTGTTTACAAAATTCCGCGCATGCCCAGTTCCCGTCACGGAAGTTTGGGCTTGATCCCGTCATTGCGTCACAGCGCCACCAACAGGTCTGGCATAGTTTCACAGTGTTTTCAGGCGTATTGACTACATTCATATGGACGCACACATTTACTGAGCTAACTCCGTGTTTACAGAAAAAGTTTCTGAAATTATAAGCGTTTTGTCTTCGTGTGGATATAGTCTGAAATGTAATTCAATAATGATAGTACTAAGCGGGCAGGGATAATGAGACTTGTTCTGAATCCCACTGCACCTAATTACTCAAATTACACAGTGTTTGCACAAATTTCCCCTAATTGCTTTATCTAGAACTACATTGTTTTAGTTATGAGCTTGTTTTTAGATATTCATTCAGACTGTTTACCTTATGTGTGTGTCCTCAGCAGGCATGTCAAACTCAGGCTCGTGGGTCAAATCCGGCCCACAAGACCATTTTTATTGGCCCCTAAATTATTTTGATTATTATTATTAACTTGCAGCATTGATGGGCGACCGAGGCATGTTACATTATCCATTTTCTCAAGAAAACAACCAAATGTTATTTATTCTAAAATTTTAAACCAACAAATCATTAGTCAAATATAAAGCAATGAACAAATGTTATACAGTATTTGGTTCCGTTTTTGTAACAATAAATACATTTTGTTTTCAGAAAAATCAACAATAAAAGTAGAACTCATGTCACATAAATGTAATCACACAAAAAAAAAGTAAAAAAAAAAATTAAAATACAAAAAGGAAATCCCATCTATTCTTTCGGCCCTTGACCAGTTCCTATTCTTTTTATTCGGCCCCTGACCATAATAGTTTGACACCCCTGGTCTATATCATCTTCATTCTTTTGCTGTTGACCATGAACACTGTGAATTCTTGCACAAACAACTTCTACTGTGGTTTTTAATCGCTGATGGCAAATGAACCACAACTGAATCTAGAGGTAAACTTGCACTTGCCGACCGATGTAGGAGGAGTCGGCAGAAGGAACTGGCGGATTACCAGGTATTCTTCTCACAGGATGATATACAGTGCAATGAGGACATGGGTTTGTCACATTTACACAGCTCTGCTTTATCAACACCTCCTGCTGACTGTTCTATCCATCTTTCTGTCTATGCTGCGGTCTCAATCATTAATCATCCAAAAACACATATAGTATAGAATTGTGTAATAGTTTCAACTCAAGGTTATTCTTCAAATACATCAAATATATCGCTTGTACAACTTTTAGACAACAGATTATTTTAATGCAAGATTCTTCCTCTGCTCTGAAGTCTTTGATACTCTGTCCATCTTTGTATAACTTTATAGAAAGAGCAACACTGTATAACATTTATGTATTTCCCCACATGACCAGTCTCTCCAAACCTTTGTCCAGTTCTGTAGTTTTGTTTTTTAATAATGCTTTTTTTTTTTTATTGCGCACTGTTTTTAACCATGTATGTACAGTGTCCTTGGGTGTTTTGAAAGGCGCTTTTAAATAACATGTATTATTATTATTAACATGTATTCATTCATTCATTCCATTTATCATGAACTCATTTGAAAAACTGCACAAATATCTGTCAGCATCACAGGACCAGTTGCTTCGAAAAACAAAACGTTGAGACAGTTTTCCTAAAGTATTTCAGTATTTTGCATCTCAGAGTGCTTGGGAAAATAGAGTCTGCTGTTTCCATATGCCATTCATCGATAAGTAAGTAAGTACTTTGTTTCTATCTCGCATTTTTACAGACCAAAGTCACCAAGGTAAACACAAATACATATGTGCAGTATATATTTGTACATGGTCAAAATGCTTCCATGGGGTTTTTTCTCTTTCTGTGTCTCTATTGCCATACATTGGACATACAGTATAGTTTTAGCTGCTAATTTTTTCTCCACAAAATTATTTCTCACAACAATGTATTAAAATGTTGCATTGGCGTAGTAGCATGTATAGCCAACAAACATGGACATTTATGTATTCTTTACCTAAACATATTCTTATTGCTTTTGAATCACTCAGAAGCTCAAACTATTGACATATGGTTTTGAAGAACATTGTGATCTTGCAATTTACCAAACAATGGAAATACATATTCTTATTTAACACAACCCTTTGCAAAGTATGTACAGCTTTTATGTACAGCCTTTTTCCGACCCAGAAACTTACCTCTTTGTAGTCCACAGCATGGAGCGACGGCAAGCAGCAAGGTAAAGACTTTCAAAACTAAAATAGCTTGGACAGATTTCATTTTTGCCTCTTTAAAATCTGTTCCTTTTATATTCCCATAGCAGAGGGCAGGGCAGTGTTCAGTTATGTGGTTCCTTCGGTGGACAGCCATGCACTTTTAGCTGAGCGCTGTTGTAAGGCTGTCGTGGGCTGTGAGCGGGTCGGACAGAGTGACAGGGGCAGCTGGGATATGTCCTGGTGTACAGTCATTGGGCCTGAAAGAAAACCCCATCATGCTCTGTCTCACTATGCACTCACACTCACACAAGCTAACACCATTCCACCGCGGCTGAAGACATGTTGCATATGATATTAATTGTAAAGTAAAGGTTTAGAGAACATATGGTGGTGGAGATGTGGCCCTTGTCTTAACATGCAGCACACAGAGGCTGAGACAGGGAATTGGGCTTGAACTCAGACCGGAACCAAACTTGGACTAAGATAAGACAGGACTCGCAATTGCGTTCGGAGGGGTGCTGGCCGATAAAATCATCAAACATTTGCCAGTACAATTGCTATCGTCCGAAAGGGTTCATTTGACCCCATTCAATGTTTATAATTGAAACAAAAGGGTAGTTTACTTTTCTTTTTTTTTGCTTTGTATTTCTGGACTTTGCTGAATTTGATGGAGACAACTTCGAGATGAATTAGTTGTCATGGGTTATCAATGGGTTATGTATGTATTCAACCGATACAAGTGCCAGTCACAACAAACTTAGTCAAACAATTCTGGAAGTAAATATCCCTGGGGTCAGATTGGTCGAAAGTACCACATTTGTTATTGTATTTAAGGATGATAGGAGGGTCAAGAATCTACATTTAGAACCTTAGAAGGTTTAGATGATGCCTTTTATTGAAATCCGTAAGTGAACTGACTTTACAAAAGAAGTCTTTGTAGATTTCATGACACTTTGAAGCAACCGTGGTTAAAGTTAAACTCATCATTCCAAAAATGCACAAGGCAGTACTTTTCCACTACCGTACTTTTGTTGGTCAAGGCCAAGCTACTGGCACGTTGGCAAATGCTGATTGGAGATCTCCATTCCTCCATGCTGCATAATCTCACTTGAATTCTGTCACCTAAAAAAACATGTCTTCTGTCCGACGATTGAAATTTTCTTCAAGTCCACCCTGCCTTTACTTCACTGATGAATCTGCTTATCATGCGCCAGATTTTGAGCTTGGATGTGATTTAAAAAATGTAAGTTTTATCTTTCAGCATGATCATTACATTTTGAACCTATATTTTATTGGGAGGGTAGGTAATGATGACGATGTTTGGGCATGTGCTCGTAATGTACATGTAAACGTTTGTGTGTGTGTTTGTGGTTGTTGGGGACCGTTACAGTTCCTGCAGATTTATCAACACTGCATTTGTAATTGGACATACTCACCATTTAGCGGCCAAACAATATTCAGTTATATACGTGAAAAAGGTCAATGCTTTAAATCTGAAAGTGTTTTTGTTGTTGCGTAATCATACAGTCGCACTGAGCATGACGGATAATAGCTTTGTGTATTTAGAATATAGATAAAGATAGATATTTTATTGATCCCCGTTGGAGAAATTCAGTAGTCCAGTGGCAGCAAAAAATAAATAAATAAATTGATAATTCTAAAAAACTAACAATAATAATAATAATCAGCAACAGCCCTTCAGGTCACAGCAGCAGAGGTGGAGCATATAGTCTCTGGGGGGAGCAGTTCGGGTCACAGCAGCAGAGGTGGAGTAAATAGTCTCTGGGTGGAGCAGGACGCTTAGTTCGGAGTCGGACCATTTTCTCTGCTCTGGTCTAAAGTAAAATGCTAAATGCTTCATTCGCATTTTTCAAAACGTTTGCATTGCTCCAGTGGATTTTCACCAGATCCTCTTAGTCAGGACCATGAATCTTCTCTGCTCTGGTCTGGACCAGTGTAAAACCATGAACACTGTACTGCGGCAACATCTCACGTAGAAAAAAGCAAGAAAAATAACAATTGTAAAGCACAAAAAACAACTGTTTCAGGGCTACTCGGGACTTGCAGCCATTTTCCAGCGCATTCAAAAGATATATATACATAGTTCCCACAGACCAATGAATGTCACATGACCTCCTCGGAGACGCCATCTTTGATGGCACGCTGCTGTGTTTGTGCATTCCATTAAACAGAAGAATGAGAATAAATGTAGATATTCAAACGCAAATTGGAAAAAAAGGGCAACTTTTGAGCAAATAATTGTATATTAATACAATGGCACCACAGTTTAACGTGCTACGGACATGTTTTACATATTTGATCAAATTATGCAGCAAAAATTAACAAGCAATGCAAACATTTCTCAAAAACTTTAGATTTAATACCAGTTGGAGCTCCATTTAATTATTTTAATTATATTAACAATTAATTTAATTAATGCTAATGCCACACGGACACTCTGGATTGCTGTTATTGTTTATTTCCGCGTTTTTGACCGTATGTTTTGGTGAATGGTGGGCAACTGATTTTTCCAGGCGTAAAGAGCAGTTTATTTTATGACACAGATCTTTTTACAGAAGCAATGCTGTTTGTGAACATTGTTTTAGCCCACCATAGAACTATTATTATCTATTTAATACATTTACGTTGCCCTCGAGAGCCTCGGACGCGACACCGATCCTCCTCATAATAAAGTAATCTAAATAATGAAACTCTCAAGTTACCAGATATCAGCATACACAAGTTAGTACTGAGTAAATTACGTCTGTCAACACATTATAAGATACGATACGCACCTGACACAAAGTGCTTTTTTCGAGCATATTCTTGCGTGTTTTGAGGGAGTTTCTTGCCTGTTTATCTTCGCAAGCTTCTCACATTCATGAAGTCTAATGATGGGTATACTGTAAAATCCAAGTTTAACGGAACCTCCGGCACGATTTGAACATCCATTGACCCAGCAGGAGATGACCATTTTCAACTTTATCACGACATTAACACGTTTCAGCTTCTTTTTCTATTGTTTTGCCCACAGAATGCCAACACAAATGGCGCCGGGTCGGCAAATCCCCGTATGTAGTGACGTTATGTGGGAACTATGTATATATGTTTCAACCTTTCTCTCAACCATCTAATGTTCACTCCTTAAAGAAAGATTTTATTTTTTCCTTTTTTGGGATTTTATAAACTTTAGGTGTCATGGTTTGAGTTTATTTTGCGTTTTATTTTTGTAATTTGTTGACCCCCGTGTCGTCTTTAGTTGTACTTCCTGTTTCCTGATTACCCGCCCCGCCCCCATGCTTAGCACCTGTGTCTCGTTAGTCTTGTACTTAACCCCTGTGTGTTCCTTCACTCCCCGATCCATCAAAGCTGTTCCTTGTCTGTTTTAGTTCTGTGGTTTGGGGTCTTTATCTTTTGCTGACATGACAGTAGGATAACTTATTACACAAATACGCTTTGCCAAATGGTTGGTATGTAGTTTGATAGTAAAAGTGACTAAAACCTAGTGATATGCCCCAAAGTATATTTCATTTCCAAGCATGCTTCGAGTAGATGACTCAAAAAGTGAAAATCATTAAAGGGTTAACAGATTTAAGGGGTGTTACTCGGGTATCTCAAATGCAACACTTCGAACTGAAGGATACTCCACCTTCCATCTTCAGCCGGTCACTTTCAGCAAGAGCTCAAGTCTGGGTGGGTAGGTAGACGGCCAACCATCCAGACATCAAGGAAAGGACTTCTGCCGTTGACCCAAAGCATGTTTATGTCCGTTGTGGAATGCAGATATTATTAGTCTGCACCGGACCCCACAGTTTTAGTTCAATAAACAAAACAAACTCTCTGGTCCTGTTTTAGCCATTAGCTTCATGGACATGGGGAAGTCAAGAGGCCCTTTGTGTCACCTGTCACTGCAGCCTCTGTGTCTCTGTGTGTCAGCTTTATTTTGGGAAAGGAATGTCATTTCACGTCATTTACTCAAGTTCCATTCTACTGTCAGCGGATGTGGTAAACTATTGTGCTGCTGGTGTCAACAGTTTACAAAGTTTAGACAGCTTCTCTTCGTGTATACTATATACAATGTCATGTTAAAGGAATAGTTCACTGTTTTTACATACTGACATATGTTCTTACCTTACCTTAGACTAGTTAATATGTACCTGTCTGGTCTTAGTCCGTGCGCTCTGTCATGCAAACGGAGCAAAAACGGGAGCACAAACGCTCCTCTGTATACTGTGTAGGACCAAAAGGTAGCTCCCGCTAGAAGCTACCAAACTCTTCCAAGTGTTCCCTATTAAATGTATATAGTTACGTGACGTGTTACACTGCAAAGTATAGTAACACAGAAATGTAACAGTCGTTTTTCTCAGCGGATAAAACGGGTACTATATTGTGAGGCGTAGTAATCTGAGGAGCGCTACGTCCGCGCACTAACTTCTCTCCGGAGACTTCTCTCTCGCTCACTTCCGTCAATAGAAGCAGCGTGACTTGTAGTACACACAGTAGCAGCGAGAGAGAAGTCTCCGGAGAGAAGTTAGTGCGCGGACGTAGCTACCTCAGCGCTCCTCAGAGCTACCTTTTGGTCCTACACAATATACAGAGGAGGCTGCGTTTGTGCTCCCGTTTTTGCTCCGTTTGCATGACAGAGCGCACGGACTAAGACCAGACAGGTACATATTAACTAGTCTAAGGTAAGGTAAGAACATATGTCAGTATGTAAAAACGGTGAACTATTCCTTTAATAGCATGTGCAATTTTTCCTTCAAAAATTATACCATTAAAGGAATAGGCCACCGTTTTTACACACTGACATATGTTCTTACTTTACCTTAGACTAGTTGATATGTACCTGTCGGTCTTTGTCCGTGCGCTCTGCATGCAAACGAAGCACAAACTGCAGCCTCTTCCACAGACTGTATAGTTCCAAATCAGCTCCCGTTAGAAGCTACCAAACTCTTCCCACGTTTTCCTATTTAGATACAGTTACGAGACGTGTTACCACTACAAAGTGCAAAAAAATGATCAAATATGGGATAATAATTGCTTGAATCGAGTTGTTTTTATCTTAATTTAAATTCTCTTACTGGACTGTCTTAAAACGAGATTGTGTCAATGAGACAAGCAATTTTATTTCTCATTCCAAGAGAGAAATGTCTTGTATCTTTTTAAAACAATATATTTTTTTCTTGTACTGGCAAATCTATTTTAAGGCAGTCAAAATGTGCTCAAATTTAGAAACATTCAGCAACATTTGACGTACGTCTTAATTCCATCATTTTTTGCAGTGCACAGAAATGTAACATGACGATCATCGCGGCAGTGTTGCCAATCCTTAAGGAAAGTAGCTATTGGCCTGTCCCATCGCTAGAAGTGCTAAATGACGTCATCGCCTAATTTGCATAATTGGCGATTTGCAAATAACTGTAATGAGGAGAGAGGAATAACGTCGTGGGAGAGACAAAAGTGAGTAAAAAACACCCTAAATATGTTTAGAACTACAAATGTACAAAAATAATTTCAACATTAACAACATTTAATGATTTTAATGCTTTGTCTAGATCCACATTACACACATCAGTTTTGTCCTGTATTGTTAAATGTTATAACAGCAAATGTAATCAAAAGATTGTTATGTAGGGTGAAATTGCTAGCTCTACAACCAACCCTCCTCCTTTATCCGGGCTTGGGACCGGCAAAGTGACCCAAAAGACACACTCTAGCAGAGTATACTTTTGTTTATTTTTCCATAGTTTTTTTTCATATTTTTTTTTTGATAGGGTGGTTTTGTTTAGTTTTCGTTTATAAACTTAATACTTTAAAGGTGGTTGAAGCCGTTTATTGGTGACAAAACAAGTCACAGTAAACCATGAACATAATTTGCAACAACAACAGCTGAGTTGAGGGTCTCCTCTCTCTCTCTCTCTCTGCTCCGCCCATAGACTGTAGCTGGGACTGCTGCGCAAGGCTACTGTGAGACTGGCCGCCTGTAAAGCCCTAGGCGTACATCGACAGAGAAACTGGAACAACTAGTTGCAAGGCGGCTTTTGGCAACTGAGAGGAGATAGTGGGAGATGATCAGTTGCCAAAATCGGTCGATGTGCGCGCTCTTACAACTGGGAGATGAACAGTCGGTCTCCATTTCAGTCAGTTGCCCGTGTTCTACTTTTCGGCAACTAGTTGTCCTCAGTTTCGGAGATATCACCCCGATGTGCGCGCTCCATGCGCCGCTCCGACAACGTGTGTGTATTGCGTGTATTGCGAGCCCGCAACAGTTTATGTCAGAAAACACACTGTAGTTGAGGCCAGTTGCTGTCGATGTACGCGCTGTTATTCCTGAGGACTGGTCTGCTACTGGGAGTTGCCCGTTTTCGTCAGATTGTCGATGTGTGGCGGGCAGCAACTCATATGAGGACGGATATAATCAGTTGCCAGTCCGATGTACGCTCGGCTTAAGTGCTTTGGGACGGGGGAGGGGCTCACGTTGAGGACCAGTAACTGGAGAACAATATGTGCTTCACCCCAGAGTCTCTCAAAGCTTTTTTGAAAAAAAGTCGCTATACACATGGGAAGGTCGATTATGTACCCACTGATAAGGACAAAAAGATAAGTCAGTAACAAAAGTGGTATTTTGTTTATCTTCCAGTCGTCAATTTATTTGTAAGTAATTTTTTTTCATGAATAGCATCTAGACTGTTTTTTTTTTTTACTTTTTGGAATTCTTAGTGGTTAAAAAATTTTGTTTCTTGTTTAATGCAGGATGAAAGACACAAATCATCTTGACTAGTGATTTTATGATTCTACAATGGATATTCAGACAACGATGTCCCAATACCTCGTCTGATGCAGAAGTGAATAGTGATCCAAAACTTCGTCAGAAACACAAGACAACTCATTCTGATGATTCTAATCCCTGCAAACAATCTTGAATGGACATTCACAACTTCATTCAGATGCGAAGATGTGTTCAGCTAAACTTCTTCTCAGTTGAACTCAGTTTCAAGTCAGGCCAACTCAAATAAGCTGTAAGTCATACAACATAAAATGTAAGTACAAAAAATATATAACGAAGACCAATTTTTGCTCGCATTGTAGCAAAATGTGCTTTCATCAAAATATGCTGTTCACAATCCTAGCAATAAAAAATATAATGGGTTAATATATCACATTTACAAAGACATCGTGCATTCTTTGGCCTTAACATGTACTTATTAGATGTTACAAAGGGTCCCCATGAGTAAATTATAAATGTTGAATTATGCAAAAAATATGCAAATCTGTGTCCGTTGCCTAAGTACATTGACTCTTTTTTTTTATAGGTCCCCACAGTACACTAGCCAGAATATCATTTCATCAATTGACACATTTTAAAATTATATATGCTTACAATGTTTGTTAGTAAATCAATTTTTTATGACTCGAACCTCTAGAAAGGTGGTCCCCACAATGTATGAGTTGAAACCTGGTCCCATCAAGATGGAAACCAGTATTGTGTGTGTGTGTGTTTGAGGAAGAGAGAGGGGTGGTGTGTGTGTGAGAGGGGGGGGGTGAGAGAGTGTGTGGTGTGGGTAGAGGAGAGTAGAGGTGTTGTGTGTGAGACAAGAGAGAGCGGGTGTGTGTGGTGTGTGTGGGAGAAGAGAAGTGTGTGGGTGTGTGAGATGAAGAGAGAGTGTGTGTGTGTGTGTTGAGGAGAGAGCGGGTTGTGTGTGTGTGAGAGGAGAGAGAGGTTGTGTGTGTGAGTCAGAGAGAAGGATTTGTGTGTTGTGTGTGTGTGAGGAGAGAGAGAGGTGTGTGTTTGGGTGAGAGGAGAGAGAGAGTGATGTTTGTGTGTGAGAGGAGAGAGAGAAGGTGTTGTGTGGTTGTGTGTGTGGGTGAGAGAGAGGTGTGTGTGGGTGGAGGAGAAGAAGAGAGGTGTGTGTGGGTGGGAGGAGAAGAGAGGTGTGTGGGTTTGTGTGTGTTGGAGGAGAGAGAGAGTTTGGGTTGTGAGAAGAGAGAGTGTGTTGGGGAGGATTAGTGTGTGTGGTGTGTGTGTGAGGAGAGTGAAGGTGTTGTTTTGTGGTGTGTTGAAAAGAGTTGTGTGTGTGTGGTGTGGTGTGAGGAAGAGAGTAGTGGTGGTGTTGAGAAGAAGAGAGGTTGGGGGTGTGGGGAGGAAAGTGAGGGGGTGTGTCGTGTGAGGAAGATAGGTGGGGTGGGTTGATGTGGAGTGAGAGAGAGAGGTGTGGTGTGTGTGTTGTGTGGAGAGAAAGAGGGTGTGTGTGTGTGTGTGTGTGTGAGTGAAGAGTGGGGGGGGGGGGTGAAGTTGATGAGGTGTGTGTGGGTGGAGAGGATGTGTACGGTGTGTGTGTGTGGTGGGAGTTGAGTGAGGTGTGGTGGTGAGGAGATAGGGGGGGGGGGGGGTGTTGTGTGTGGGGGGGGGTTAATTGTGTTGGGTGGTGGGGTGTTGTGTGTGTGGGGGGGGGGGGTTTGTATAGGGGGGGGTTTTGGTTGTTGTGGGGGGGGGGTGTGTTTGTGTGGGGGGTTAATAGTTTTGGGGTGGGGGGGGGTGTTTGTTGGGGGGGGGGGGGTTTTTGTGGGGGGGGGGGTGGTGTGTGTTGGGAGGGGGGGGTTTTTGTTGGGGGGGGGGGGGGGGGTGTTGTTGTGGGTGGGGGGGGGGGGGTGTGTGTTGGGGGGGGGGGGGGGGGGGTTGGTTTTAGGGGGGGGGGTTTGTTGTGGGGGGGGTGTTTTGTTGGGGGGGTGGGGTGTTGTGATGGGGGGGGTTTTGTGTGGGGGGGGGGGGTTTTTGAGGGGGGGGGGTTTATTGGGGGGGGGATGGTTTTTGGGGGAGTTTTTGGGGGGGGTTTTTTGGGGGTGTTTTGGGGGGGGATTTGTTTGGGGGGGGGGTTTTTGGGGGGGGGGTTTTTGGGGGGGGGGGTTTTTGGGGGGGGGGTGTGTGTGTTGGGGGGGGGGGGTTTGTTGTGGGGGGGGTGTGTTTGGGGGGGGGGGGTTGTTTGGGGGGGGTTTTTGGGGGGGGGGTTGTGAAGAGATTATTTATTATTAGTTGTTTTTTTTTGAGAATTATTATATATAGTATATATAGTTATATTAAGAGAGAGAAAAGATATATATATTATATATAAGATAGAGAAGATATATATATTATCTATAAGATAGAAAAGATATATATATATATATAAGAAGAGAGTAAGATATAAATATATATATATATAAGAAGAGAGGAAGAATATAAAATAAATAAGAGAGAGAAGATATATATATATATATATATAAGAGAGAGATAATATATATATATATATAAGAGAGTGAGATAGATATATAAAGTATATATATATATATATAAAAGATAGAAGAATATAAATATATAAATAATATAATAAGAAATAAATATATATATAAGAAGATGAAGAGAATATAAAATATAAATAAGAAGAATAATAAAAAAAAAAAAGAGAGATAGATAATATTAAAATAAATTAACTAAAAATAGAATATGCGAGAATAATAAACTCGAATAAATATAAGAATAGATAAATAAATAAAAAAATAAAAAAGAGAGAGATAAGATATAAAAATAATATAATAGAGAGAGAAGATATATAAAATAATAAGAAGAGAGGAATATATATATAGATAATATAAGATAGAGAAGAATAGAAATATAAATAAAACATAGTATAGATTAATATATATATAAAAAATAAATAAGAGATAGATAATTATATAAAATAATATATAAATAAGAATTAAGACAAAAATAAATACCAAGATAAGAATAAATTAAAAGTACAAATACAATATATATAATATATATATAAGATATAGAGAAGATTATAAATAAAAATATAAATAAGAATAGAGAAGTGGAAGATATAAAAATTATATAAAAGAGATAGATGAATATATATGAAAATATTAAACGAGATATATGAAGAGATATATATATATATCTAAGAGGAGAATAAGATATATATATATATATATATATAATAGAGAGAGGGAGAAATATATATATAGAAGAGAGAAGATATATCTAAATATATAAAATAGAGAAGAGAAGAATATATATATAATAAGAGAATAAATAACTAGTAAAAGATATAATAAAAATATAAAAGTATAGTCTAGAGAAATATATAGAAGGAATATAAAAATATAAAAAATAAGAGAGAATAAGGATAAAACAAATAAAAAAAATATAGATAAGAGATATATATTAAAAATAAAAAAAAAATTTTCAAAGATAGACGAAAAATAAAAATCTAATAGCGTAGATATAAGATAAATATAAAAAAAAAAATAGAGAGAGAAGATAAAAAAAAAAATATAAAAGTATATGAGATTGAAGAGAACCATAATATATATAAGATATATAGAAGATAAATATATATATAAAAAATAAAAAAAAAGAGAGATATAAAGATAAAAAAAGAAAATACTATAAAAAAATCTATATAAGAAATAAAAAAACAAACAAAAAAAAAAATATATATAGAATATATATAAGACAATATATAAGAGAATGAAAACAAATAAAATATAATAAAAGACTTATATATATATAAATAATAAAAAATTATATATATAAATATAACGAGAGAGATAAGATAAAAAAATATATATAAAAAAAGAGAGAATATAATTAAAAATAAAAAATAAAAAAAATAAAGAGAGAGAATAATATAAATATATATAAAAGAGATAGAGAATAAAAAATAAATATAATATAGAAGAAATCTATAAATATAAAATTAATAAAAACGAGATAGATGAATATAAAACAAAATTAATATATATAAGCTAGAAGATGAAGAAATATAAATCTATATAAGATAGAGAATATATAATATATAAATATAAAGAGATAATAAGAATAATAAATATAATTATAAAAAAAAGAGAGATATAAGAAGATATAAAATATATTATAAGAGAGAGATAAGTTAGATATAGTTATAAAAGGTTAAAATATATATTAGGATTAGATAGAAGATATTAAATATATATATAAAAAAAGAATAGAGGATAACAAAAAAAAGAATAATATGAGAGAAGCTAAAAAAAAAAATAAAAAGACATATAATATAGACGAAATAAAAAAAAATAAACTACGATATATATATAGAGAATAATTGATAAATATATATAAAATAAAAAGAGAGAGAATAATATTAATTATTATAAAAATAAAAAAGTCAATCATAGAGAGATGATATATATAAATAAAGAGAGTATAACGTAGATAAAAAAATGATAAATACTATATCTAGAAGAGGATATAAAAAATAATAAGAGAAGAGATAAGAATAAAAAATAAAAAAATGTGTAATGGGAATGGAGGTGATAATGTGAAATTGATGCTAAGGGGTAATAAAGGGAATTGAGGGTTATTGTGAAAATATTTTATTTGGTGGGAAGGTTATTTTATGGGTTATGTGTATATGGGTTTTTGGGATTGGTTTGTTGGAGATGGTAGTGGGTAAGTGATTTTTAGTGATATGTATATGTTTGGTAAAATTTGATGATTGTTTTTGAATAATTAACTAACATTTTATATTACCAATGGGGAACATGGGTTTTAGATATAAGAAAATAGGTTATGCCTAAGAAGGCACACAGACTGTCCAATGGTTGTGGAAATGGTGCATTTTGAGAAACAATTTTATATTTTTTATTGCTAGGGAGTTGTGAAAAATTATTATTGTTGTTTGATATGTGAGGATCTATATATTAATATTTTGGTATTTGGAATATAGTAGTTGGGAGCAATACATGTTTGGTGTATGCATTTTAAAGGCAGGATTGTGTATGGGAAGGAAGGGTTATTGGAATAGGATTTTGGGGATGAGGTATAAATTATGTGAATAGGTATTGGTAGGGGGGAAGTGAAAAAGGAAGATTGTGGCAGGGATGAATCACAAGAATGAGGTGGTAAGTTTGGATTACGATGGTAGGTGGATGATAGAGATAGTGTATGGATAAAAAGGTAGAGGGAAAGAGTGTAGAAATATAAAGGGTAGATTAATATAAAAGAAATGTAAAGATGATTGTTGTGTATTTTACATATGATAAAACTAATAATAAAATGTGAACAAATATGAAGGGTAAATTAGTTAAATTTAAAAAAGTAGAAGGAAATGAAAGGGTTATAAATAATTAAAAATTATTTGGAAGAATATAGGTATAACATAGGGGGGTTGGAGTTATTTGGGTGTGGTATGGGGGGAAGGAATTGTAGTGGAATGGGGTGGGAAGTAAAGTTGGGGGTAAATGAATAGAATAAAAATGGGTGATGGGAAAGTAGAGGGTAAGATTATTTATTTGATGTTAAATAATTATAATTAAGTATATAGGATATGGTTAGGGATATAAAATAGAAATATTGAAGTTGTTGGGGTAATTGGATTGAGAAGATATAAATTTTGGGTATCGATATTGTTAAGATAGATTAATAGTAAAATTGAAATTTTATGTTTTGTGGGTTAGTTAGGAATATTTTATTTGATGGGAGTTGTGGAGAAATGGGGTTTTTGAGGGAGGATGTAGGTATTTTGAGAGGGTGGGGGATGTGGGGGTTTTGTGAAGTAGGGGGGAGGTGGATTAGTTGTTGTGTGTGGGGTAAAAAATTTGGATAGTGGATGGGGTAGGTGAGGGATTTGTTGATTTTTTTGAGGATGTGGGGATTTATGTGATAGGGGGGAGAGTGTGGTAGTAGGGGATTATAAAGTGTATAGGGGGGGATTGTTTTATAGTGATATTTGAGTGATAGGGGAGGGGGTGTGGATAAGGTGAGGGGGGGGAGTTAGGTTGAGGGGGGGTGTATGAGGTTATAGTGGGGAAAGGAGGGAAGATTAGGTTAAAAGATAAAGAATTTGATAGTATAAATGAGAATATGTAAGGAGATATGGAAATAGTATGATTTGATTATGTGTTTTTTAGATTTTATATTGTTGGGGGATGGAGAGATTAGGTTAGGATAGATATAATAATAATATATGATTTAGAAAAAGAAATAGAAGTAATAAGGAATTAAAAAAATAGGTAAAAAATAGGAATGAAGAATGAGAGGAAGGTAGAGGGGCGGAGAGATGTGGGAATGGTTTGATGGGGTGAATTTAGTGGTTTTTTTTTTTTTTAGGTATTTTGTTTAAGTTGGTTAGAGATTTTGGGAGGGGGAGTGAAAAATTAATGTTTTGTGGGGGTTATTGTTGGTTAAGTATGTTATGAGGGGTGGTATGGGGAGGGTGTTATGGTTATTGTATTATTTTAGGAGGGGGGTTGGGGTTGAAGTTTTTATTGTTTGATGGTTGGGGGTTGGGTTTGGTGGGGGTATGGGGGTGGGAAGTTTATGTGGGTGGGGGGGGTAGTATAGGGGTGAGAAATAGTGAAGGTGGAAGAGAAAGTATAGGAAGGGTATGGGGGATTGATTTTGTGATTTGGTAGGTGTAGTGGGTTTAGGTAGGAGTAGTAAGGGTATTAATTGAGGAGGAAAGTAGGGGTTGGATTTTAGTGAGGGGGTGTTGGATGAGGGTTATGGTTTGGTGTGGGTATTGTTATAGTTTGTGATAAGGAGAGTTTTATGTGTTTTTGTTTTGATTTGTAATTGATTTTGATATTTGGTATATTATGTAATTTGATGTGGGGGTTGTGTTTTAATTAGGGGGGTATGTATATTTGTGTGAGTTTAGAGTAGGTGTAAGGTGGATATTATTGGTGTGATTGGAAGGATGTAATTGGATTGTAGGGATTATATATGGGTGTTTTGATGAGATGAGAATTGGAGTGTTTGGTTGTGGATATATTGTATGGTTAGGAGGTGTATTAGGGATTGTAGGGGATATATGTGGTTGAATTATTTGGGGTTGTTGAGGTGATTGGGTTTTTTAGGTTGTTTTGAAGGGAGATTGTTGTAATTTTTTGGTGGTTTGGAGGAAAGGAGTGTAGGTAGTTGTGTGGTTGGTGGGTATAATGTTTGAGGGTGTAATTTGGTTGGATTGGGTTTTTAGGAGAGAGAGATTATTATTATTGGTTTTTTTTGTTGTTTAGGGGTTATGGGTTGATGGGTGTGTTTGGGGATGGGTTAGATGGTTTATTGATGTGGTTGTTTGTTGTTGGGTTTAGGGGGGGATGGATATAAATTTAGGGGTAGGTTTGGGGATGGATTTGTTAAAGAATTAGTGGAAATGTTTTATGGAGGGGGTGGGTTGATGGGGTTTGAATGTTTAAAAAGTTTTTGTTGTTGGGGGTTTGTTAGGATATTGGAAAATGGTATTAAGGTGGTAGGAGTGTGGTGATGTTTGAATGGTTGGAAATGTTGTGGTGTGGTTTTGATGATGTTAGGAAAAGTAAGTGTGGGGGTTTTATTGGGGTATGATGAATTTTATGTGGGGGGTAGAGGTGGTGGGTTGTGGTGGTGGGTGGGGTTGGGGGTTGATTGGGGTTTTGTGGTGGGTGGGATTGGGTTTGAGATGTAAGAGGAGAAATATTGGTATAGGTGTAATATTGGATGGGAATTAGAAAATGTTGTTTTTAGTGAGGGAAATTTTGAGGAGTTTGAGGAGTTTGTAGTATGTATGTTTGGATGTTGGGGGTATGGTTTGTTAGGTTATAAGGTGTTGTGGTTGTTGGAAGGGTGTTTTTTGGTGTTTTTTTTAGTTTTTGTGGGTTTAGTATTGGGGTATTTTGTGGATTTGTTATTATGGGTGGTGGGGTTGAGGGGGGAGTTGAATATGGTTATTGATGGGGGGGAAGGTGGGGTTTGGGTGTTTTATTTGTTGTTTGTGGGGTGGTGTTGGAGTAGAGTATTTATTTTAAGAAGTAGGTGTATAGGTTTATTTGGGTAAATTTTTATTTATGTTTGGTGAGGGGGTGGGGGTTGGGGGGGGGGGGTTGTGGGTTGGTTGTTGTGGTAGGGGTATTTTGTAGGTTGTTTGTTTGGTGATATGGATAGGATAAATTGTGGGTGGTGTGGGTTGTTGGGGGGGTGGGGGGGGTTGGGTGTGTGGTTTTGGTGTGGTTTGGTGGTGGTTTGTGTGTTGTGTTTTTTTTTTGGGTTTGGTGTTTTGTGTTGGTTTGTTTTGGGGGGTGGGTATAGTAGGGTTATGGGGGGTTTTATTGTTAGGTTAGGAATTTGTATTATGTGTTAATATTTTATATATTTTTTTTTTTTTGTTGTTTTGGGTTATTTTGTTTTTGTTGTTGGGGGGTTTTTGGGGGGTTTTTTGTTGTGTGTGTTTTGTATTTGTGTTATATTTATGTTGGGTTTTTAGATTTGTGGGGTGTTGGAGTTTTTTTGTGTTTTTTGTTGGAGTGGGGTTTTTGTTTTATTTTTTTGTTTTGTGTGGTTTTTTTATTTTGTAATTGTGGAAGGGATGAAGTTTTGAGGGGGGTTTAAGGGTTTATGGTGTATTGTGGGGTGGTTGATGGGTTAGTGTGGATGTTGTGTGTTTGTGTGGTGGAGGGGGGGTGGTTGGTGGGGTGGTTGGTTGGGTATTTGTTTTTGGTGTGGGTTTTGATGTGTTGTGGGTGGGGGGTGGGGGGTGTGGTTGGGGGGGGTGGTATGTGGTGGTTTTTGTTATTGTTGTTGGTGGGTTTTTTTGTGTTTATGTGTGGTTGTGTTGTTGTTTTGGTTTGTGTTTTTTGGGGGATGTTTGGTGTGTTTGGGTTGGTTGGTGGGGGTTGTGGGGGGGGTGTTGGTTGAGTTGGGGGGGGGGGGTAGTGGGGTTGGTAGGTGGGGGTTTTGGGGGGAGGGGTGGTTGGTTGTTTTTGATTGTTGGGTGGGTGTGTGTTTTTGTGGTTTTTTTGTGATTGGTATGTGTGTGGTTTTGTGTGGTGTATTTAGGTTTGTTTTTTTTTTTTTGTTGGGTGGGGTTGTTTGGTGTTTTGTGTTGTTGGTTTTGTTGGTTTGAGTTTGGGGGGATGAGTTTAGGAGAGGTATGGGTTGATGGGGATGTTGAATAGTATTTGGAGGGTATGTAGTATTTTTGGTTGTGTTGTTGTTATTTTTGGGGGTGTGTTGGTTTTTTTGGTGGGGTTGATTTTTGTTGGGGTTATTGTAGTATTGTTTTGTGTTTTGGGGTTGTTTATATGGGGATTGGTATGATGGATGAGGGAAGGTTATGGGGTAGGTGGTGTGGTATTTGGGAAAATGGTTTTTGGGTTTTTGGGGGTTGGTGATTTTTGTGGGATTTGAGGAAGGAGTTTAGTGTAGTGGGGGGTGTGAATATATGTATAGGGTTTTGTGATGGGGTGATTGGGTAGATGGGTTTGGGTGTGAGGTATTGGGGGGTTGTTAGATTGGGGGGTGTTGAGTTTTTTGAGTTTTGAAAGTTTGGTGTGGGTGGAAGGGGAATTGATTTTTTATGGTGGGGGGGGGGGGGTTTGTTGGGGGGGGGGGGTTGGTTTTTGGGGGAGGGTTTTTTGGTGGGGTTTTTGGTGGGGGGGGGGGGTTTTTGGGGGGGTTTTTGTGTGGGGGGGGGTGTTGGTGTGGGGGGGGGGTTTTGGTTGGGGGGGGGTTAGTTTGTGGGGGGGGGGGGGGGGGGTTTTTTGGGGGGGGGTTGGTTTGTGGGGGGGGGTGTTGTTTGGTGGGGGGGGGGGGTTGTTTGGGGGGGGTGTTGTGGGGGGGGTTTTTTGGGGGGGGGGGGGGGTGTTTGGGGGGGTGGGTGTTGGGGGGGTTTTGGGGGGGGGGGTTTTGTGGGGGGGGGGGGGTGTGGGGGGGGGGGGGTTTTGGGGGGGTTTTTGGGGGGGGGGGGGGGGGGGGGGGGGGGGGGGGGTTTTTTGGGGGGGGGGGGGGTGGTTGGGGGGGGGGGGGTTTTGGGGGGTTTGGGGGGGGGGGGGTTGTGTGGGGGGGGGGGGGTGTGGTGGGGGGGGGGGGTGGGGGGGGGTGGGGGGGGTGTGGGGGGGGGGTGTGGGGGGGGGGGGGGTTGGGGGGGGGGGTTTGTGTTGGGTGTGGGGTGGGGGTTGGGGGGGGGGGGGGGGGGGGGGGGGTGGGGGGGGGGTGGGGTGGGGGGTGGGGGGGGGGGGGGGTGGTGGGGGGGGGGGGGGGGGGGGGGGGGGGGGGGTGGGGGGGGGGGTGGGGGGGGGGGGGGGGGGGTGTGGGGGGGGGGGGGGGGGGGGTGGTGTTGGGGGGGGGGGTGGGGGGTGGGGGGGGGGGGGTTGGGGGGGGGGGGGGGGGGGGGGGGGGGGGGGGGGGGGGGGGGGGGGGTGGGGGGGGGTGGGGGGGGGGGGGGGGGGGGGGGGGGGGGGGGTGGGGGGGGGGGGTTGGGGGGTGGGGGGGGGGGTGGTGGGGGGGGGGTGTGTGTTGTTGGTTTTGTGGGGGGGGGGTGGTGTGTTGTGTGTGTGTGTGGTTTGTGTGATTTATGTTGTGTGTTGTTATTTTTTATTTTTTGTTTAGTGTTGATGATTTTTGTATTAATTTATATTTATATTTATGTGAGATGATAGATATTTTTATTGTATTTATTGTGTATGAGAAGATATTTATATATATATATATAAGAAGAGAGAGAAGATATTATATATATATAAAGAGAGAAGATAATATATTAATATATAAGAGAGAAATAGTATATATAAATATATAAGAGAGATTGAAGATATATATATATATATATATATAAGAGAGAGAGAAGATATATATATATATAAGAAGAGAAGATATATATATATATATAAAGAGAAGAAGATAATATATATTGTGTTTATATTATAAGAGAGATTGAAGTATATATATATATAAGAGAGATGAGAAGTGAGATGAAGATATAATATATATATATGAATAATAGATATAGAAGATATATATATAGATTAATATATAAGAGATCGAGAAGATAAAGAAAGTTATTATATATATTAAGAGAGAGAGAAGTATATATATATAATATAAGAGAGAGAGAGAGATAGTATATATATATATAAGAGATGAGAAGTAAGATATATATATATTTTATAATGAGAGCGAAGAAGAGATATATATATTATATAATAAGAAGATAAATGATAGAATTTATATAAAAATATTTATATAATTTAAAATGGAAGTATATAAATATATATATATAAGAGATAAGAAGATATATTATTATATATATATTATAAGATGAGAGAGAAGAAATATAGTATATTTATATATTTAATTATAAGAGAGAGAGAAGAGATATATATATTCTTATATAATAGAGAGATGAAATATATATATATTAAGATATAATAGAGAGAGATAAGATATATATATATATATAATAGAGAGAGAAGATATATATTAGAAGTATTATAATATATAATATTAAATATAGAGTAGGATATATGATATTATATATGAGAGAGAAGAAGATATATATATATATATTAAATAGAGAGAAGAGATATATATATTATATAAGAGAAGAGAGAAATATATATATATATATAAGAGAGATGAGAAGAGATATATATATTATATATAATAGAGTGAGAGGGAGATATATATATATTATCTTTTTATATAGAGAAGAAGAGATATATTATATATATAGAAGATGAGAAGATATATATATATACAGAAGAGATTTTGAAGATAAATATAATATAATATAATAGATAGAGAAGATAGTATATAGTATAATATATATGATAGAGAGAAGAGAATATAATAAATATAAGATTAGAGAAGATTATATATATATTATATATATATAATTAAAGAGAGAGAAGATAAATATATATATATATAATTTTTATGATGTATTTTAAATAAGAGATGATGAATGAAGAAATATATATTTATATATATAATAGAGAAGGAAAGAAGATGAGAATTTAATATATATATAGAGAGATAATGAAGATATTATATATATATTAAGAGAGAGAGAGATATATATATATATATAAGAGAGAGAGAAGAAATAAAATAGATATATATATATATAGAGAGTAGGTATGAAGATATATATATAATATATATATAAAAGAGAAGAAAATATATATATATATTATAATGTAATGGTTTGTGTTAAGAGAGAGATGAAGATATATAAATAAATAAGATAGAGATAAGGTAAGATATATATATATATATAAGAGTAGAGAGAAGATAATATAAATTATATATATATATATAGAGATAATGAATATTAATATATATATATATAATAGAGAGAAAGATAAATATATATATAAAAGAGATATATAGATATATATATATTTTATATATATAAGATAGAGAGAATATATAAATATATAATTTTTTGTATATATCATAAGAGAGAAGAGATAAAATAAATGAAATATAAAATAGAGAGAGAAGATATAAATATATATATATATATAAGAGAAGAGAGGATATATATAAATATAAAGAGAGTGAAGAGAAAGAGATATATTAAAATATATAAATAAGAGATAAGTAAGATATATATGTATATATATAAAGGAAGATAGGAAGAGATATATAAATATATATAATAGAGAGAGAAGATAAATATAATATATTATATATAATAGAGAGAGGGGATATATATATATAAGAGAGAATGAAGAGATATATATATATATATAAGAGAGAGAGAAAGATAATATATATAAATATAAGAGAGAGAAAGAAGATATATATATATATATATATTTAGGGGGTGAATGAGTTGGGTAATGGGATTTGATGATATGGTAATAAGGGAGTTGGAGTTGGATGTTTTTTTTTGGGTGGTAGTTATTTATTGGGTATTTGTATATGGGTTTTGGGGACTGTTGGGTGGTTTGTTTGAGGGATGGGGTAGGGGGGTAAGTGTTTTTTTTGTTATTGGGATAGTTTGTATTGTGGGATGTGGGGGGGATGAGGAGTATTATAGGGGTGTTGTTAGAATGGGGTAAAAGGGGGTTTAAGTTGTTGGTATTGGGGTTGAATTTAGGATATTAGGGGAGGGGTTTGGGGGAAGGGTGGTTAATGGGTTGTGGGGGTGGGGATGTGGGTTATGAGGTGGGAGGTGGTTTATATGGGGAGGATTGATTATTTTTTTGGAGGAGGATTTGAGGGGGTAAATAATGGGGGGGTGAAGGTTATGAATGTGGGGGTGTAGTAGGTTAGTGGATTAATTTTGGGGAAGATAGGGTGTTATGAGGTGATGAGGGTTGTTGGGGTTGAAATGGATTGAGTGTGGGGGGATGAGTGTTATGATTTTGTGGTGGGGGGGGATGTATTTGGTGATAGTATATGGGGGGGGTATATGGGAGTTGATGTATGGGTGAGGGGTATGTGTGGGGAGTTATTGAATGGGGTTTGATGTTTTATATATGTATTGTGTGGGGGGGAGGATGAGGTTGTTTATTTTTTTTATGGGGTTATTAGTTGTTGGAATTTTTTGGTTTTTTTTTTTTATGGATGGTTGATTGGATGTGGTTTTTTTGTAGGTATTTTGTTTGGTTGGTATATGGGTTAGGATAGTGTGTTATTGGGGTGTGGGTATGGGGGTAGGTAGGTTAGTGTATAGGGGGGGAAGGTGATGGGGGTATTGAGTAGGAAAGGGAGGGGATTTTGAGGTTTGTTTTTTTTTTAGTTGTTTTATTTATTTATTTTTTAGTAATTATAGAGAGGTTAAGGGATATTTAAAATAAATGGAAGGTGGGTGTATATTGATAGTAGATAATATGTTGGTTTAGAATTTGTTAGATAGAGTTAATAAGGAAAATAGGTGAATGTGGTATTGTGTGGGTTTGGTGAGTATATGTATTTGGGGGTTATGGGAGGATTTGGTTTTTAGGAGAATGTAGTATTTTGAGAGTGGGGGGGGGATGTGGTGTTGTTGAGTAGGGGGAGTGGTTGAGGGGAATTTGGTAGTGGATGGGTAGTAGGGATGTTGGTGATTTTTGAGGGATGGGGAATTAGGTAGTAGGGGGAGAGTTTTTTTTTTTTTGGGTAGTAGGGATGTAAAAGTGTTTAGGGGGGGTTTTGTTATTGTATTTTATTTGAGTGAGTAGGGGAGGGGGGGGGGTGGTTTGGTGAGGGGGGTTTGGTGAGGGGGGGGTTTTTGTGGTTGTTTGTGGGTGTGGATGTTTAGTAAATAAAAAATATTTAAGGTAGAAATGAGATTATGGGTATGGGAGTTATGGAAATGAGTTTGGAGTGGGATGATTGTTGGTTTAGATTTTATATGTTGGGGATAGAATTGTATTAGGATGAGAAATAATAATATAATAATATATGAATTTAGAAAAAGAAAGAAGTAATAAGATTAATAAAATAAGTAAAAATAGAATGATATATAGAGGAAGTAAGGGGGAGAGATGGTGGGGGGGATCTGGTTTGATGGGGGTGGATTTTAGTGGTTTTTTTTTTTAGGTATTTTTGTTTAAGTTGGGTTAGAGGAATGTGGGGGAGGGGGGGGGAATATGGGGAAGGTTATTTATGTGTTTTGTGGGGGTTAGTGTTTGGGATAAATGTATGTTTTTAGGGGGTGTATGGGGAGGGTGTTATGGGTTATGTATGTATTTTTAGGGTGGGGTTGTTGGTGTTGATTTTTTTTTGGTATGTTTTGAGGTTTGGGGGGTGGGTGGTGGGGTTTGGGGGTGGATTTTGTTGGGTGGGGGGTAGAATAGGGGGGAGATATATATAAGGTGGAAGAGAGAAGTTTTTTGGTGATAGGTATGGGGTGGGTTTGATTGGTTGATTTGTAGTGTTGAGAGTTGGGATAGGAAGTTTTAGGGGTAGATTTTGTGTAGTAGGAAAGTTGTTGGAGTATAGGGTTGAGGGGTGTTGGATGTGGGGTTATTTGTGTTGTGGGTTTTGGGGGGGGTTTTGTTTTTGTTTTGTTTTTATGGTGGTTTTTGGTTTTGATGTTTTTTAGTTGTTGTATTTTGTAGTTATATGTATTTTTGTTGTGGGTAGGTGGTTTTTATTGAGGGGGGGTATGTTTTATGTGTGATTTAGTGTTGTTTAGGGATTTTTTTGTGTTTGGTGGTTGTATTTGGTATTGTAGGATTTAAGTATTGTTGATGATGATAGGTATTGGAGTGGGGTATGGGGTAGTTGGGATTATAAAGAATGAAGGAGGGTATAAGGGATTGGGGTAGGGTTATATTGTTTAGATTATGTTGGGGGGTGGTATGAGGGGGGTGGGGGGATGGGTTTGTTTATGGGTTGTTTTTGAATGAGATGGTAATTTTTTGGAGTTGTGGAAGAAGGAGTGGATTAGGTATGTTGTGTGGGGTTTGTGGGTATATGTTTTTGAGGTGTATTTGTTGATTTGGGGGTTTTTGAGGGATGAGAGAGATGTTTTTATTTATTGAGTTGGTGTTTGTGTTGGTGTTATGAGGGGTTATGGGGTTGGATGGGTGTTTGGGGGATGGGTTGAGGTTTAGTGTGGATGGTTGTTGTTTGTGTTTATGTTAAGGGGGGGGGATGGGATGTATTGTAGGGGGTAGGTTTGGGAGGTTTTGTTAAAGATTAGTGGAAAATGATTTTTGAGAGGGGGTGGGGTTGTGGGGTTTGAATGGGGGTTTAGAAAAGTTTTTGTTGTTGGGGTTTGTTAAGATTTTGGATTAATGGTGTTTATTTAGGGGTGGTAGAGGGTGGGTGAGGGTTTGGAAGGGTTGGGGAAAATGGTTTTGTTGGTTTTGATATGTTAGGGGTAAAGTTTAGTTGGGGGGTGTTTTTATTGGGGGGTTGTTGTTTTTATGGGGGGTTGAGGTGTGGGGTAGTGGTGGATGGGTGGGGGGGGGGTTGTGGGGGGGGGAGGGGGTTAGGTGGTGGGTGGGGATTTGGGGTTTAAGTTGTATGAGGTGAATTTTTGTATAGTGTATTATTGGATGGGAATTAAAGATGGTTGTTTGTAAGTGAGGAAATTTTGGTAGTTTGAATGTTTGGTAGTTTGGGTTTTGGTGTGGGGGTATGGATTTGTTGTTAGTAATGGTGTGTTTGTTGAAGGGGTTTATTTTGGGTGTTTTATATTGTGTGTGGGGTTTTTATTTTGGTATTTTTGTGGGTTTATTATGGTTAGTATGGGTTGGTGGTTGGAAGGGGAGTTGAATATGGGATATATGATGGGGGTAGGGTGGGGGTTTGGTGTTATATTTGGTTTATTTGTGGGGTGGTGGTTTGTGTTGTGTTTTTGTGTTGTTTAGGTGTTGTGGTTTTTTGTTTTGTTTTTTTGTTGTTGGTAGGTGGGTGGGGGGTGGGGGGGGGGTTGTGGGATTTTTTGTGGGGTGGGGTTTTTTGTTGTTGGTTTTTGTGTTGTTGTGTGTTTGTGGTGGTGGGGGGTGGTTTTGGGTGGGGGGGGGTTGGGGTTGGTTTGTGTTGGTTTGGTTGGGTGGGGTGTTGTTGTGTGTGTGGTGTTTTTGTTTAGGGTTGGGTTGTGATGTGTTTGGTTGTGTTTTGGGGTGGTAGGTGTGTGGGGTTTTTTTTGTTTGTGTTGGTGTTGTTTGTTGTGGTGTTTTTTTTTGTGTTGTTTTTGTTTTTATTTTTTGGTGTGTGTGGGTTGGGGTTTGGGGGGTTTTTTGATGTGTTGGTTTGTTGTTTGTGTTTTTTGGTTGGGGTGTTTTGGTTTTGGGGGGGGTGGGGGTGTTTTTTTTTTTTTTTGGTGTGTTGGGGGGTTTTTGTTTTTTTTTTGTGTTGGGTTGTGTGTTGTTTTTTTTTTTGGTTGGTGGGTTGTTTTAGGGGGTTTTGGGGGGTTTTTTGGTGTTTTGTGGGGGGTGGGTATTTGGGTTTGTGTGGTTGTTTGTGTTGTTGGTGTGTGGTGGTGGGGTGGTTGGTGGGGGTGGAAAGGTTGGGGAAAATGTTTGTTTTGGTGGGGTTTTGAAGATTGGTTGGGGAGGGGGGGGAGGGGGGGGGGGTGTGTGGGGGGGGGTGGGTATTGGAGGATTATGATATATGTTGATGTGGTAATTTTAGTGTTATTTTTGGTGTGTTGTGGTTTTTTGGTAAGTGTTTATGGGAGTGTTTGATATGGTTGGTTTGGGATGGTTGGGTGGGGGGGGGGGGTTTGGGGGGTTTGGGTTGGTTGGTTTGGGGGGGGGGGTTGGGGGGTTGGTGGTGGGGTTTTGGGGGGGGGTGGGGGGTGGTTTGTTTGTTTTTGGTTGTGTTGGGTGGGGTGTGGTGATTTTGTGTAGGTTTATTTGTGGTTTATTTGTTTGTGTGTGGATTTTGGTTGGGTTGTTTTTTTGGTTGGGGTGGTTTTTTTTGTTTTTGTTGTGGGTTTTGTGTTGTTTTATTGAGGTTTGTTGGTTTTTTGTTGTTTTGGGTGTGGTTGGGGGTTTGTTTTGGTGTGTGGGGTTTTGGTTTGTTGTTTGTTTTTGTGTGGGTTTTGTTTGTTTGTTGGGGTATTTTTGTTGTTTTGGTGTTTTTTAGGGGGGTGTGGTTGGGTTTTGTTGTGGGTGGTGGTTGGTTTGGTTTTGTTGTGTTGTTTTTTGGGTTTTGGGGTGGTTTTGTTGGGTTTGTGGTTTGTTGGTTGTGTGGTTGGTTTTGGGTTGGGGTGTGGGTATTTGAATTTGTGTTTGGTGTTTTGGGGGTGGTGTTTTTTGTGGTTTTGAGGTTGGAGTTTTTGGTTGTGGGGGGTGTGTTAAATTGGTTTTGAATTGTTGTTGGTTGTTGGTTTTTGGGTGGTGGGGTGTTGGTTTTGGGGGGTTGTTGATTGGGGGGGGTTGGTTGTGTGGGTTTAGTGTGTGGTTATTGTGGTGGTTTTTGGTTATGTTTTGTTTTTGGTGGGGGGGGGTGGGGTTTTTTGGGGGGGGTTTTGGTTGGGGGGGGGGTTTGGTTGGGGGGGGGGGTTTTTTGGGGGGGGGGGGGGGTTGTGTTGGGGGGGGGGGTGGTGTGGGGGGGGGGGGGGGGGGGGGTTTTTGTGGGGGGTTGGTTGTGGGGGGGGGGTTTGTTGGGGGGGGGGGGGTGGGGGGGGGGTTTGTGGGGGGGGGGGGGGGGGGGGGGGGGGTGGGTGGTGGGGGGGGGGGGGGGGGGGGGGGTGGGTGGGGGGGGGGGTGGGGGGTGGGTGGGGGGGGGGGTGGGGGGGGGGGGGGGGGGGGGTGGGGGGGGGGGTGGGGGGGGGGGGGTGGGGGGGGGGGGGGGGGGGGGGTGGGTGGTGGGGGGGGGGGGGGGGGGGGGGGGGGGTGTGGGTGGTGGGGGGGGGGGGGTGGGGGGGGGGGGGGGGGGGGGGGGGGGGGGGGGGGGGGGGGGGGGGGGGGGGGGGGGGGGGGGGGGGGGGGGGGGTGGGGGGGGGGGGGGGGGGGGGGGGGTGGGGGGGGGGGGGGGTGGGGGGGGGGGGGGGGGGGGGTGGGGGGGGGGGGGGGGGGGGGGGGGGGGGGGGGGGGGGGGGGGGGGGGGGTGGGGGGGGGGGGGGGGTGTTGTGGGGGGGGGGGGGGGGGGGGGGGGGGTGGGGGGGGGGGGGGGGGGGGGGGGGGGGGGGGGGGGGGGGGGGGGGGGGGGGGGGGGGGGGGGGGGGGGGGGGGGGGGGGTGGGGGGGGGGGGGGGGGGGGGGGGGGGGGGTGGGGGGGGGGGGGGGGGGGGGGGGGGGGGGGGGGGGTGGGGGGGGGGGGGGTGGGGGGGGGGGGGGGGGGGGGTGGGGGGGGGGGGGGGGGGGGGGGGTGGGGGGGGGGGTTGGGGGGGGGGGTGTGTGTGGTTGTGGTGTTGTTGTTGGTTGGTGTTGTGTGTGTTGGTTTGGTTGTTTTTTGTTGTGTTGTTGTTGTTTTTTTGTTTTTGTGTTTGTTTTTTTTTTATTTTTGTGTGTGTTTTTGTTTTTTTTTTTGTTTTTTTATTGTGATGTAGTGATGTTTTTTTTGATATATTTTTATTGAGTGTGATGATTATTTTTTTTTTATTTGTTGAGTTTTATTTATTGTTGAATTATTATATATAAGAGAGAGAGATATAATATATATATTGAGAGAAGTAGATATATATTATATATTATATATAAGAGAGAGAGAAGAGATATATAGTTATATATGTGTGAGAAGATGTATATATTTAATAAGAGAGAGAGAAGATATATATTTATAAATTAAGAGAGAAAGAAGATAATATAATTAGAAGAGATGATGATATATATATATATATATTTTAAAGAGATGTAAGATATATAATATATAGATGAAATAAAAGAGTAAGAGAAGATATATTTATATATATAAGAGAGAGATGAAGATATATATATATATAAGAGAGAGATGAGAAAATATATATATATATATAAGAAGAGAGATGTAGATATATATATTTAAGAAGAGAGAAAAGAATATTAGTATATATATATATAAGAGAGAGAGAAGATTATATATATATATATAAATATATATATATAAGAGAGGAAGATATATAAATATATATATATAAAAGAGAAGATATATATATATTTATATAAATGAATTTTGAAAAAGGTGTGATGATATAAGAGAGAGAGAATAGAATATAATATATATAAGAGAGAGAGTATGGTGAAGATATATATATATATATAAGAGAGAATGAAGAAGAGATATATATATATATATATATATAGAGAGAGATGAAATAATTATTATGTATATATATATTATATAAAGAGAGAGAGGGAAGAATATATTATATATAAGAGAGAGAAGAGATATATATATATATATAAGAGAGAGATGAATAGATATATAAATATATAAGAGAGAGAAGAAATATAGTATATATATATAAGGAGAGAGAGAAGAGATATATATATATATGTTAAATATAGAGAGAGAGTGGAGATAGATATATATTAAGAGAGAGAAGAGATATATTTTTTTATATAAGAGAGAATGAAGATATATATATATAAGAGAGAGGAGAAATATATATTATATATATTAGAGAGAGAGAAGAGATATATATATATATATATGAGAGAGAATGAAGGAGATATATATTTATATATATAAGAGAGAGAATAGATAGATATTTAATATATGTGTAAAATAATGAAAATATATATATTAATTATATAAGAGAAGAGATGAAAGATATTATATATATATATATATATAAGGAAGAGAAATAATATGATATATAATATTAATATATATAAGATATAGATAAGAAGATATATATAAATATTAAAGAGAGAGAGAAGATATATATATATATATAAGAGAAGAGAGATAAATATAATATATATAAGATTGAAGAGAGCAGATATAATTGTTTTATATATATATATATTATAAAAGATAGAGAAGATAAATATATATATTATAAATTTTATAAATTAAATAAGAAAGAGAAGAAGATATAAATATAAATAAAAGAGAGAGAGAAGATATATAAATATATAAAGAGGAGAAGAAGATATATAAAATCAATTTGAGTGTTGTATAATAGATAAGAGAGATTAATATAAAATTTATCTATATAGAGTAATATAGAAGAAGATATATATATGTTAGATTATTGTATATATATAAGATAATGATATGAGATATATATTATATATATAAGAGAGAGAAGATATATATATTAATTATATTTATAAAGAGAGAGAGATGAGAAGATATATATATATATATTGGTACAAGTATTTTAGGTTGGTATTTTTTATGGTTATCGGATATAATGTTAAGAGAGAAGAAGAATATATATAAATATAATAAAGAGAGAGATGAAATATAATTTAAATATATATATATAAGAGAGAGTAGATGGATATATATATATAAAAGAGAATAATAGATATATATATATTATAATAGAGAGAAAAGATATATATTTAATTATGTATAATTATATATAAATAACGAATAGGAAGAAGAGATATATAGTATTATATATAAGAGAGAGATAAGATATATATATATATATATATATAAGAGAGAGAGGGAGATATGATATATATAAGAGATAGAATGATAAGATATAAATATATTTCTATGATAGATAGAAAAAGAGAAATATATATAAATTAAGATAGATAGAAGAATTGATTTTATATATATATATGTATATGTAGGGGAAATGGATGTGGGTAATGGGGATTGATGTATATGGGGGGTAATAAAGGGAGTTGGGGTAGTTGGGATGTTTTTTTTTGGGTGGTATGTATTTATGGTTATGTGTATATGGGGTTTTTGGGGATTGGGGTGGTTTTGTGTGGAGGGATGGGTAAGGGGTAGTGGTTTTTTTAGTGATTGGATAGGTTTGTATTGGGGATGTGGGGGGGATGTGGATATTAATAGGGTGTTGGGTAGATGGTATAAGGGGGGTTGAGTTGTTTTGTATTGGTATTAATTTGTTGAATTAGGGTAGGGGTTTGGGAAGGGTGGTTAATTGGGTGTGGGGGTGGGAGTGGTGGGGTTATAGGTGGAGGGGGTTTATATGGGGGGATGGATATTGTTTATGTTTTTTGGTGGGAGGGATGTGTGGAGGGGGTATTTTAATGGGGGGGGGGGTGAAGGTTATGATGTGGGGTGGGAAGTAGGGTTAGTGATGGATTTTGGGGATTAGTTTATTTGAGGTTATGTGTTGTTGGGGTTTACAAAGTAAAAGGTTGTTGCAGGGATAAAATCATCAATAGTTGAGGTGTATTTGGTGTGTATGAAGAATTTGGATAAAGAGAAATTGAGTAGAAGTAGTAGGGTTATGGGAAATAGGGGAATGTTATTAGAATGGGAGTATGATTAAATAGAAATGTATTATGTTGTGTTGGGAGGGAATAGGATTTTTTTATAGTTTTTATGGGTTATTAGTTTGTAGGAATTTTTAGTTAATTTATTAATTTTAAGGATGTTATTGTTGGGGAATTTAAAGTAGGAATATTGTTTGGTTTGTATAATGGTTATTATATGTGTGTTATTGGGGGTGTGGGTATGGGGGTAGGTAGTGTAGTGGTTGATAGGGGGGAATGTGATGGGGGGGTATGTAGAAGTATGAAATGGGGGAGGGGAATTTGAGGTTTGTTTTTTATTTAGTTGTGTTTATTTAATTATTTTTTAGTAATATATGAGAGGTGTAAGGGATATATAAATAGTAATGGAAGGTGGGTGGTATATTGGATTAGTGATATATATGTTGGGTTAAGATTTTGGGTTAGATAGATGAAGAGGAATAGTGAATTGGTAGTTGGTGGTTTGTAGGTATATGTTATTTGTTGGATGTTGGGAGAGATTTGGGGTTTTTTGAGGGAGATTAGGTATTGGTTGAGAGGGTGGGGGGATGGTGGTGTGAGTTGAAGTAGGGGGAGTGGATGAGGGATTTGGTTAGTGGATGGGGGGTTAGGTGGAGGGGATGTGTGATTTTTTGAGGGGATGGGGGATTAGGAGATAGGGAGAGTGTGGGGTGAGGTAGAGGGAGTAAAGTGTTAGTAAGGGGGGGATTTTTTTATAGTAGTATTTGAGTGTAGTTAGGGGGAGGGGGGGTGGGAGTAGGTTGATGGGGGGGGGGGAGTAGGTAGTAGGGGGGGGTGTAGAGGTTATAGTGGGGGAGGAGGGAAGATAGGGGTCAAAGAAAAAGGTAATTTGATAGGTATTGAGAATGGAGATATGGTAGGTAGGGGATTATGAATAGTATGAGTGATGATTTTATTTAGATTTGATATGGTTGGGGGATGAGAGGTATGTAGGTTAGGGATGAGAGATATATTAATAATAGAGTGAATTTAGAAAAATATAGACGTAATAGAATAATAAAATAGTATAAATAGTATGAAGAGATAGTGGGAAGGTAAGGGGGGGAGAGATGTGGATATGGTTTGATGGGGGGTGAATTTAGTGGTTTTTTTTTTTTTTTGTATTTTTGTTTGTTGTTAGATGATTTGGGTGGGGGGATAGGAAGGGGGAAAATTTATTGTTTTTGGGGGTTTGTGGTGGTTGGGGATATGTTGTTTGGAGGTGGTGGTAGGGGTGGGGGTTATGGTTATTGTGATGTATTTTAGGTGGGGGTGGTGTTAGGTTTTTGTTTTGTTGGTTGGGGGGTGGTGGTTTGGTGGGGGGTTGGGGGTGGTGTGTTTTGTGGGTGGGGGGTTGTTTGGGGGTTGTTATTTTGTGGTAGTGGGATTGTTTTGGTTGGTTGTGGTGGTTGTTTGGTTGTGGTGTGTTTGTTGGGTATTGGTGTTGTTTTGGGTTTGGGTTTTGTTGTAGGTTGTAGTTGGTGTTTTGTGGTGGGGGTGTTGTGTGGGGGTTTTTGTGGTGGTTTGGGTTTTGTTTTTGTTTTTTGGGGGGGGGGGTGTTTTTTGGGGTTTTTGGTTTGTTTTTTTTAGTTTTTGATTTTTGTTGTTTTTTGTTTTTTTGTTGTGGGGTTTGGGTTTTTTGTGGGGGGTTGGTTTTTGTGTGGTTGTTTTAGTGTTGTTTTGGGTTATTTTGAGTTGGTAGTTTTTTGTTTGGTTGGGTTTTATTGTATTATTGTTGTTGGTGTGTTTGGTTTGGTGGGGTTGGTTGGGTTTTTTTTTGTTGGGTGGTGTGGTTGTTTGGTTGTTAGGTTTTAGGTGGTTTTGTTTTTTTGGGGGGTGGTAGGTGGTGGATGGGTTTGGTTTTTAGGTTGGTTTTTGTTTGGGTGGATGGTTTTTTTTTTGAGGTTTGGTGGGTGATGGTGTGTTTTGTTGGGGGTTGTGGGGTTGGTGGGTATTTGTTTTGTGGTGTTTTGTTGGTTTTGGGTTTTGTGGTTGTAGAGTGTTTTTTTTTTTTTGTTTTTATGTGTTTTGGGTTTGGGTTGTTGGGTGTTGGGGGGTGGGGTTTTTGGTTTTGTTGGTTGGTTGTGGGGTTTGTAGGGTTTTGGGGGGGTTGGGGGGTTTGATTTGGGGGTTTGTGGGGTGGGTTTTGGTTATTGTTTGGTTTAGTTTATTGGTAGGTGGGTGTGGGGTTTGATTGGGGTTTGTTTAGGTTTGTTTTGGGTTGGGGTTTGTTTTGTTTTGGGGGTTTTTGGTTTTTAGGGGTGTGGGGGGTGTTGGGTTTGGTTGGTGGGTTTTGGTTTGGTGGTTGTGTTGTTGTGTGGTATTTTGTTGGGGGTGGTTTTTATTGGGGGGTTGGTTGTTTTTGTGTGGGGGGGTTGTGGTTGGGTTGTGGTTGGGTGGGGTGGGTTGTGTGGGGGTTTGTTGGTGGTGGGTTTGGGTTTGTTTTGTTTGGTGTTTTTTTGAGTAGTGGTGGTTGTTGGGTTGGGGGTTTTTTTGTTGTTGTGTTGTGGGGGTGTTTGTGTGTGTGTTGGTGGTGTTTGTTGTTGTTTGTTGGGGGGGTTGTGGGGTTTGGGGGGGGGGTGGTTTTGGTTTTTGGGTTTTTTGGTTGTGGTGGTTTGTGGGGTTGTTTTTGTTGGGGGGTGTGTTGTTGGTATTTTTGGTGGTTTTTTTTTTTGGTTGGTGGTTGTGGGGGGGGGTGTTGTTTTTGTATTTTGTTGGGGGGGGTAGGTGGGGTTTGGTGTTTTATGTGGTTGTTTTTTGGGGTGGGGGTGGGTTGGGAGTGAGTGTATTTTTTTGTTGTTGGGTGTAGGTTTGGATTGTTTATTTTTTTTTTGTGTTGGGTTGGGGGTGGGGGGGGGTTGGGGGGGGGGGGGTTGTGGGTTGTTTTTTGGGTGGGTGGGATTTTTTTTGTTGTTGTGTTTTTTTTTTTTGTGGTGTGTGGGTGGTGGGTTGGGTTGGGGGGGGGGGGGTGGTGGGTTGTGGTGTATTTTTGTTTGTGGTTGTGTGGGGTGTGTTGTGTGTGTGTGTTTTTGGTTGGTTGTTGGGGTGTTTTTTTGGGGTGGTGTTGTTGGGGTGGTGGGGGTATGAGTTTGGGTTTTTTTTATTGTTGGTGGATTTTGGTTTTTATTTTTGTTGAGTTTTTTTTTATTGTTGATTTTTGTTTTTTTTTTTGTGAGTGTGGGGGGGGTTTGTTGGGGGGGTTTTTTTGATGTGTGTTGTTTTGATGTTGTGTTGTTTTGTTTTGGGATATTGGATTTTGGGGGGTGTTGAGTTTTTTAGAGGTTTTTTTGGTTGTATTGGGTTTTTTGTAGTTTTTTTTGGTTGTTGGTTGTTTGTGGTTTTGTTTTTGTGGTTGGGTTGATTGTTTTTGGGGTTTGTTTGGGTTTTTGTGGGGGTGGGGTTGTTGGGTTAGTGTGGATGGTTTGTGTGTTTGGGGGTGTGGTGGAGGGGTGGGTTGTGTGGGGGGGGGTGAAGGTTTTTTTTTTTTTGTTGGGATAATGTTTGTGTTGGGGGTGGGGGTTTTGTTGTTTTTTGGGGGGTGGGGGGTGGGGGGTTGTGGGGGGGTGGGTTTGGGTGGTTTTTATTTTTGGTTGTTGGTGGGTTTGTTTTGGGTTTTTGTTGGTTGTGTTGGGATGGTATTTTGGGTTTGTGTTTTAGGGGGTTGAGTTTGTGGTTTGGGTTGGTTGGGTGGGGGTTGGGTGGGGGGTATGGGTTGGGTTGGAGTTGGGGGGGGGGGGGGTTGGGGGGGGGTGGTGTGGGGTTTTGGGGGAGGGGGGGGGGGGGGTGTGGGATTGTTTTATTTTTATGTGGGTTGGTGGGGTGTGGAGTTTTGGGTGTGGATTTTTTGTGATATTGTAAGAGAGTGGTTTGTGTGGTGTGAATTTTGGTGATGTTTTTTTTTGGGTTTATTGGAGGGGTGGATGTTAGATTTTGTGGTTGTTGATTTTTGGATGGATGTAGTTGGGGATTGTTTTATGAGGAGATGGGTTAGATGGATGATAATGTATTTTGGAGTTATGTATTATTTTTGGGGTATTTGTTTGTGTATTTGATGGGGGGAGAGATGTTTATTTTGGGTGGGATATTTTTTTTGGGATATTGTAGTATTGTGTTTTGGTTTTGGGGTGTTTATATGGGTTTGTTTGGAGGGGGGGGGATGGAGGGGATGGTTATGGTTGGTGGTTGGGTATTGGAAAATGGTGTTTGTGTTTTGGGTTGGGTTGGTGATTTATTTGTGGTTTTGTGGAGTGTTGGGTTTGGGTTGTGGGGGGGTGTGATAATTTGTCTATTTTTGTGTTGGGATTGTTGGGTTTTGTGGGTTTTGGGGGGTTTGGGAAGAAGGAAGAAGGAAGAAGGGAAGAAGAGGAAGAAGAGGAAGAAGAGGAAGAAGGAAGAAGGGGAAGAAGAGGAAGAAGGGAAGAAGAGGAAGAAGGGGAAGAAGAGGAAAAAGGGAAAGAAGAGGAAGAACAGGAAGAAGAGGAAGAAGGGGAAGAAGAGGAAGAAGAGGAAGAAGGGGAAGAAGAGGAAGAAGGGGAAGAAGAGGAAGAAGGGGAAGAAGAGGAAGAAGGGGAAGAAGGGAAAGAAGAGGAAGAAGGGGAAGAAGAGGAAGAAGTAAGAAGAATGTGTTGTAAGGGACTGAAAGTGTTGTAAAGTGCTAAATACGTTGTAAAGTGCTAAATGTGTTGAAAGGTGTTGAATTTGTTGTAAAGTGCTAAATGTGTTGTAAGGTGTTGAATTTGTTGTAAAGTGCTGAATGTGTTGTAAAGTGCTGAATGTGTTGTAAAGTGCTAAATGTGTTGTAAAGTGCTGAATGTGTCGTAAAGTGCTAAATGTGTTGTAAGGTATTGAATTTGTTTTAAGGTGTTGAATGTGTTGTAAAATGCTAAATGTGTTGAATTTGTTGTAAAGTGCTAAATGTGTTGTAAGGTGTTGAATGTGTTGTAAAGTGCTAAATGTGTTGTAAGGTGTTGAATTTGTTGTAAGGTGCTGAATGTGTTGTAAGGTGTTGAATTTGTTGTAAAGTGCTAAATGTGTTGTAAGGTGTTGAATTTGTTGTAAAGTGCTAAATGTGTTGTAAGGTGTTGAATGTGTTGTAAAGTGCTAAATGTGTTGTAAGGTGTTGAATGTGTTGTAAAGTGCTGAATGTGTTGTAAGGTGTTGAATTTGTTGTAAAGTGCTAAATGTGTTGAATTTGTTGTAAAGTGATAAATGTGTTGTAAGGTGTTGAATTAGTTTTAAAGTGCTAAATGTGTTGTAAGGTGCTGTAAGTGTTGTAAGATGTTGTAATGTATTGTATCTGTGGTAATGAATTGTTAGTGTGGTAATGTGTTGTATGGGGAGTAATCTGTTGTACTGGTCCAATGTAAGTCTATGGGAAAAAGTGCTTGAACTTTTGTTAATATCTGAAAAAGTGCTAAAGGTGGAAGTGTGAAAAGTAATAGCAATAATGAGACGGTGAAGCCGGTCGTAACGATGTATAATTTGTTGAATTTGGTGAAAGCGTTGAAGAGCTGAAAAGTGCCAAAATCTGGCGGAAGTGGAAGAAGAAGAAGAAGAAGAAGAAGAAGAAGAAGAATAAACAGTAGGAGAGCATATAGTGGCTGCATAGTCTATGCAGCCACTCAATAAACAGTAGGAGAGCATATAGTGGCTGCATAGTCTATGCAGCCACTCAATAAACAGTAGGAGAGCATATAGTGGCTGCATAGTCTATGCAGCCACTCAAATAGGTGTTGCTTTAACCAATCTGATTTTGAGTTGGTGACACCAAGGCCTTGGAGTAGATGTACAGTAACATCAGTATATTCCCACCATTTGATTGGATAGTCAGAGAGTGTGCTAGCTAGAACAAGCAAACTGCCTTTGTTGCAAGCTGAACGATATTCGTGTTGATTTACGACCCACAATGGCTGAAGGAGGAAAAGAAATTGACTTGGTTGCGGGTTTTTTGTTATTATTAGAATGTTGTGTTCATCCTTTTAATGAATCATATGTGGCTGAAATGCATGCCCACTTTGGGTGGTTGCATTTTAATTCGCCTTCTGAACCATGGGGGTTTTTGTATGTTAATCAATTTTGCCAAGAGGAAGCCTGGGCATTGTCTGAAATTTGGAGGGTTACTTTATATGCTAAACATTCCACTGTTCCTTTGTTCTGTTTCCTCCATTCCTAACAGCATATGATGAGGGTGTGTCCTCTTTTCCTATGAAACCTATCTGATTCTTGGCATGTGTCAGATTTGCTCTGGGCAAGGCTGTGCTCTGTCCTCTGAAAAGCAGTTTCTCTTGGAAAACAACAAAGTGTCAAGAATGCCTGAACTAATATTTGTTTGTGTGTGATTTTGTGCAGGTTCAACTGTAGTTTAAAATCAGCATTCACCATTATCAAAGCCAATTTCAAGAAAAGCTGGACATTGTTAAGAATGTTCGGGTAGCTTTGAGACTAGAAAGGTAACCCTAGCTGTACACTTAGTGCTGGGACTCTTTTGGAGATGGTCTATCTCTATTTCCTAAATAATGTTGTACTTTTATGTGGATATTAGTGATGCTTTGCATGTGTGTTGCAGCCGTAGCTGCAGTATAAGGTGACTTGTTCTCTCTTCTCTGTAACTCATTACTGGGAGTCAAAAAGGCTACTGACGCTTTGGGCTGGTGGTCCGGTCCGGTCCGGGCTGCATTATTGTGTGTGCATGATCAATATAAAGGTTAATTGTGGCTCTCAATATGATGTTCTGATTGAGTAACGCTGGCTCTGGCTGCAACTCAGAGAAAGCTCATGGAGGCTCGTGTTTTGTTGTTCTTTACTAACTTCCGATGCAGGAAGCGTGTACTGTTGTCATGGTAACCACACAGACTCAGGCACTGTAGACGGAGTTATGTTTAGTGATGCGTTTTTTACATGATCATTTGATAATGCTCTAACCGTCTTATTGACCAGATTGAACGATCAGATCTACTTGGTGTATAAATAACCATAAAGTAGTTATTGAGAGGTGGATTCATTCAGACGAGCACTACTGAAGGCCTAGGTGTGATATGCACGGCCCGGCACTGACTTACAGACATGTCTTTGTTTGTGTTTTTCAACGTTGCATTTCTTGTGTTCAAATTGAGTCATTTCTCCCAGACGACTGCCGTTGTGATTTAGGGCTTAACAAAAATAGAAAGAGAGAATTGAATTGAAAAGTATTGTAGTAGAGTTTAGTGCAGATACAAAACTATTTATTGTCCAAGTTATAAAACAGAAACAAATATAAAAGCTTTTCCACAATACACAACAAGAACAGTTTTCTCTCTCCACTCATAGCTCAGAACTTGTGTAGATGACAACTTCACAAAAGAGCTATTTTCAACAAACTTTTCTTCTTTCAGCGCAAGGACAATTAGAAAGCATGGATGGAGGTATGGGGAATGCATGAACAAAAACATTTCTCCGAATATATCTGAAGCCATAACAACACGCCGCCAGTGTCATTACATCTTGTTCAAACACAGATCGAGTGCAGCACAAAGCAATGCTACGCTCTGTCTGCTTTGATGGCCCTAAAGATAGACAAACAATTCACATATCGGGTATAGCGTCTCTGCTGATGGATATTGTACATCCATCATCGTGGCCATTGAGCTCATATTGTCCGCAAGAAATTGTTTGAAGTAAGCAAGTAAGTAAGCTTTTATTTATATACCGCCTTTCACAGACCAGAGTCACAAAGCGGTTTACAATTGTTATTTTTTGGGCACTTGTCCTCTCACTCCACACAGAGATGGGAGCAGGGTCGCCAGTACAGGAGGCGCATGCCAGACCTATTGTACATATTTTTAGTGGTAGGGGAAACCGGAGTACCCGGAGGAAACCTACGCAGACACGGGGAGAACATGCAAACTCCACTCAGAAAGGCCCTGGTCCGGCCGGGATTCGAACCCAGGACCTTCTTGCTGAGAGGCGAGAGTGCTATCCACTCAGCCACCGAGCTCACCGTTTGTTTTAATGTGAGCTCCTCTAATGAAAAATCACCATGGACCGGCTTCACTTGTAACAGTACTGAGAGTTGGATCAAAACGCCCTTTGAACTATTTTGTAGAATTACGCATAACAGGTAGTTCCGCCGTTGTTTACACAGACTATGAAAAGAAAACTCCACATAAATTGCCTGACTTGTATTTAGAAAAAGTCTTCAATTATCAAAGATTATGTATAATTTTCCTTCTAGCAATGAAAAGAGCAGCTAGTTGCTCGTAATGCGTTTCCCCATGCACTCATGCCATTTAACATTATCTTAACCGTTAATGGTCTTGAAAGAATAGTTTGCCGGACGGATAAAAAACAACCATGTCATTAGTAGTAAATAGTTGATATACCAGAGATGTATGCCGTAGCAGTCTGCCCCTCTGTTTTTGTTTTTACTGAATTACTGAAGCAAACGATCAAATCATTGTTTGCGAATGTCAACATTGATATACAGTGTTAACTCCACTAGAAAACTATTGTAGTGTATACTCCACGAGAGCAGTGGTTCCCAAAGTGTGGGTCGCGGGAAGATGATTTTCATTCAAATTAAATTATATAGCCCTTAAATACTTGTGTTGCAATTGATTTGATTTGTTAGGACTAGTTGAAGAATTGTGTTTGGAGAAGAGCCTGATAAATATATAAGTGGGGCGGCTGCGGCTGTAAAGTGCCAGACTGCCATTGTGTCCTTAGGCAAGACACTTCACTCACATTGCCTAGAATGAGTCTGGTGTGTGTGTGAATGGTGGTGGTCGGAGGGACCGATGGCACATACTGGTTGCCTCGCTTCTGTCAGTGTGCCCCAGGGCAGCTGTGGCTACAGTAGTAGTTTATCACCACCGTGTATGGAGTGAATGAATAATGACACGTAAAAAGTCTTTGAGTGTCCAAAAAAGCGCTATATAAAACTGATTCATTATTATTATTATTATATTTTTTTCTTCAAATTTGTGTTACGAGATTCAAACAGCGCTGAGAGTGGCTCAGTTGGTAGAGCGTTGGCCTTTGAGCCCGAAGGTCGTGGGTTCGAGCCCACAATGAGACCTACTTCATGACTCCCATGTGGAACAAATTTGTATTCCATAGGGAGAGACCAATGTCCATGAATGTTGATAAACATCCATACATGTTGTAAAATGTCTAAGTGTCCTGGATCATCCTTCTTGTCAGACACAAACTGTCCAACAGACCCTCCTGCATCGACAAGGAAAAACTCTAAAACCCACTGGGAGAAAAGTCAGAAACCTCGGGGGGGATCCACATTGAGAGAGGGAAAGGCGGTCTGCAAATAAAAGTTGAATGATTGATAAAAGAGGCTGCACGTATGAAAGAATCATTTAAGATTGATAAAGTAGTGAGGCCTAAAGACAGTGTATCTGAATCTGGTCCCCAACAGACAAAATACTCCAAATGCAGCTCTTCACATTCCATAGCTTCTGTGGAGCGCTTGGAGGTTGAATTGGAAGAGGCTGCTCTCTCGCCAAAGGCAGCTAGGTTAAAGGAGAGACATTAGATTGAGTTTCAGGAGCTGCGTCTTTGGGCAAACAAACAAGTCTTGGAATTAAAGCTCGCATTGGCCACCACCCAAGCTTATTGAGGGGTTTGGAC